CACCAAGTTCGTAGAGAACGAGGGGAGGTAAAGACCAGACAGGGTGCCAGAGGGGGCCGCCGGACACGGGAGGACAGTGGAGAAGTGAGCAAGGACAGGACCCCCAGAGGGGTCTGCCAGAGAGACCGCAACTGGCCGGCCAAGCGGCGTGAGTGTGGTGCGGTCTCGAAAGAAGGAGCGAGAAGCCCCCGAGTCAAGGGTGAAGGTGTGGGAGGCCGAAGCCGACGCAGAACCTGAGAGAGCAGACTCACCAGCACCTGAGGGAGCAGACGCACCTAGAGCAGCAGCCTCGCTAGCACCTAGAGCAGCAGCCTCACCAGTACCTAGAGCAGCAGTCTCAATGCCCGGGTCGGGCGGAAAACACCGGTAACAGTCACCCTCATCACTAATAGTCACAGTATACATGGCAGCAAGAATAGCATCAAAGTCAAGGTCAAAGACAGCTACACCCGCCCTAGACAGCTCACCCCAGCGGGGGATCTCAGTGGCCTCAGGGAACTGGTGACGCCAAGCGTCCGTCAGGCGGCCAAAGCAGCGCTGGGTGGAGTGCGCACCCCCGCACTGCTCACCCGCGCGGTCGCCGGTGCGCAGGACGTAGGTGCACGGACCAGTACCCCCACCCCTCTGGCGTGCAGTGTACCACTCACGGAGCTGCTGAGGGGAGGGGATGTCACGAGTGCGCTGCTGCTGCTGCTGCTGCTGCTGCTGGCGCTGACCACCACCGGAGCCGACCCTCTGCGCAGCGCCACCCCGACCAGCTCCACCTCCTCCGCCGCCTCCTCCTCCACCGCCGCCACCTCCGCTCCCTCCGCCACCGCCGCTGCCGCCTCCGCCTCCACTGCCGCCACCGACACCTCCACCCCCGCCACCACCCCCACCGCCACCCCCACCCCCTCCACCGCCCCCACCACCGCCTCCACCGCCCCCGCTAGCTCCTCCAGCGCCCCTGCCCCCCTTGCCCTTGCCAGGGCGGCGTCTCCCGCTAGGGGTAGACGCTGCCCCAACCGACTCCAAACCAGCGAGGTCGGCCGCAGCAGCAGAGGCAACAGAGGGCAAAAGAGGGGAGGGGGAACACCCCTCAAAGATGGGGGTGCGAGGGTCACCACGAGAGGCTCCTACAGCGACTATGCTCTTTTCTGCTGCTAGGAGGGCCTTCTCGAGGAGGTCAACAGTGAGAGTGGTGGGGCAAACCGAGAGGAAGTGGTCCCTGACTACGCGAAGGGAGTCAGGGAGACGGATGACTATGTAGTAGAGGGTGATGTACATGGGGGGGGGGTTCTTGGCGCAGAACTCAGCAGGAAGCGCAGCGCGGTAGCGAGTGTCACTAGTGCGGAGGTGCGTAATGAGGTCAGCGACTGTGGGAAAGGCAGCAAGGTCAGGGAAGAGGTACGGTAGCATGAGGCGGCTCAGTGCAGCAGTGGCAGGGGAGGAGTAGCGTGCAACTACAGCGTCGTACAAGGTCTGAGCACTCTTGTACTGGCTAAAGTGCGCACGCTCAGAGGTAGGCAGGTGGCGACGCACAGCAAGACGTGCAGCAGCATCGCGCGTGGCCCACTGTGAGCGAACAGTGGCGTCAGCATCAGCAGCGGGGGCAGGAGAGGCACCAGAAGTGAGGTCAAAGAGGGAGAGGCCGTCTGCCCTATCGCACTGTAAGAAAAGCTGCAGGTCATCTATCCACACTTCAAAGTCAATGGCCCGACCCTCAGCGTCAAAAGCGAGGACACTAGGGGTAGCCATGACAGCAGTAGACTAGTAGCGCAAACAGTAGGGTGAGGGCAGTGCTGTGAGAGAGGCGCTGCTCTTACCGGACAGGGCGGCTCGGGCGGCTCGGCTGCAGGGCGGCTCGGCGACTCGGCGGCTGGGCGGCTCGGCTGCAGGGCGGCTCGGCGACTCGGCTGCTCGGCGGCTCGGCGGCTCGGCTGCTGGGCTGCTCGGCGGCTGGGCGGCTCGGCTGCTGGGCGGCTCGGCTGCTGGGCGGCTCGGCTGCTGGGCGGCTCGGCTGCTGGGCGGCTCGGGTGGCTCGGCGGCAGGGCGGCTCGGCGGCTCGGGTGGCTCGGCAGCAGGGCGGCTCGGCGGCCCGGCGGCTCAGCCGCTGGGCGGTTCGGCGGCCCGGCGGCTCGGTCGCTGGGCGGCTTGGCGGCTGCGGCTCCTGATCAGGGACGGCGGAGGGGCCGGTGGGAGGCGGCGTCGGAGCCGGGAAGGGCGGCGCCGGGGCCGTAGGAGTAGGCGCCGGGGTCGTGGGAGCAGGGGCCGGGGCCGTAGGAGTAGGCACTGAGGCCGCTGCAGGGGAGGGCGACGACGGGGCCGCAGGTAGGGCGGCGACGGGGCCGCAGGTAGGGCGGCGACGGGGCCGCAGGTAGGGCGACGACGGGGCCGTAGGTAGGGCGGCGACGAGGCCGCAGGTAGGGCGGCGACGGGGCCGCCGAAAGGGGCGGCGACGAGGCCGCAGGTAGGGCGGCGACGGGGCCGCGAAAGGGGCGGCGCGACGGGGCCGCGAAAGGGCGGCGCGACGCGGCCGCGAAGGGCGGCGCGACGGGGCCGCGAAAGGGCGGTGCGACGCGGCCGCGAAGGGCAGTGCGACGGGCCCGCTAAGGGCGGCGCTAGGGGGCCGTGAGGGGCCTAGTGAGGGCGCGACGGTGATGAGAGCACACCGGGCGCGACTCGGGCCGGAGCGAAGCGCGCTCCGGGCAGGAAAAAAAACTCGTAGTGGTGGGCCCTAGGAATCGTTCCCGTTAGGGAACCTGCTCGATACCATGAGAAGAAACAAGGAATGAATGAACTATGAATGAATTGGGTACAAGTACTAACCCTAATTGGGTTGTACCCCTTATGGGCTACCCCACTATAGCCTACACAATATGCATGAGCTATAATGTTCTGACAGAGCAGCAGCTGCCGCTGATCGAGTTCGCGTATAACAACGCCACGTAAGCGACGACGCAGCAGTCCCCGTTCTACCTTAACTACGGGCAAAGCCCTACAGTGCCCATGACGCCGAGTCCGGACAACCCAACACCACGTGCACAGCAATTCGCCGAAATTCTGCAAGCTGCCCGCACCAGAGCCGCCGAAGCAATTATAAAAGCCAACGTCATCGCTAAACGCAACGCTGACCGCCACCGCCGCCCAGTCACGTACCAGTCAGGGGATTACGTACTGCTCGACACACAGAACTTAAGACTGTCCGTCGTACCGAAATTACGACCCCACTACTGTGGACCATTCCAAATCAGCCACATGATTACCCCAGTGACAGTTCACCTACTGTTGCCGACGGACTTGTACATCAGCTCTTCGTTCCACGTCAGCCTACTTCGCCCATACATCCCAACCACAAGCCAACTGCCTCGTCACCGCCCGCCATCCATGACTCGCCCTGCATCGGAGCCGATCATCGAGCCCGAAAAAATCATGAGCCATCGGATTCGACACCCTACGGGAATCAGGAGGATCGAATTCCTCGTTCGCTGAAAGGATCGCACGCCAACTGAAGATAGCTGGGTGCCCCTGGCCAACATTGAAAACCACCCTGCCCTGCAAGTGTACCTGAGGAGCCAGGGTTTCCGCGATATACACACACTCGCGTAGCGGAGGGGGCTTCTTGGAGGGGGGGGTAGTGTAAGGAATTTTCTCGATATTCCTTAGCGCACCCTGCAACACCGCGTACAGCAGCAGCCGTTGTTTGCCTGTTACTACTAATGGGGCTTCGCCGACTTCGCGCGCACTGGTTTCCCAAACCTCGCACTGCTGGACCGGCCGTGTCGGCCTACACTTCGGGACTAGCCCGAGCCTCGCTTCCAGCGTAGCACTAGCTAGCTCGCACGCACCGCGTTACCGTTGCATGTTTCGCGTATAAATGTTCGCTCATGCCTTCGCTCACATTTTGTACTCGTTTGACACCTTAGTGCAATTCTCGCTACTTCGATCCATTGCACCCGTAACAACAACCCAACCCAAACCTAGCTTGTAGTTTTGGCAAGTGTGCATGCACTTTGTATGAACCCAGCAACCGTTTCTCACACACAACTTGGATTACCAAGCGCATCTAGACCCAAGAAGCCGCGATCCAAGAAGCTGTGATCTGTGGTGCAACTCCCCTGACTGGAACCACCCCGTTAATTTTAATTTTGCATAAAATCCTTATTTATTATTTGAGTTCAGTACCAATTGATAACAGCATTATATTTCATTCTCAGCAAACTGCCTATTTTGGCCATTGACTTGAATCAGTTGGAAATTTGTCATACTAATTGCATTGCAGGGTTTGTGAAAGTAAACCCCCGAAACACAAGAGCGCCTTCGAAATAGCACTTGTTGGAACTCTCAACCATTCACTCTTCGGTTTCTGATCAGTGTGCTCGCACTCAGCAAGCGTGGGATTTTCACTCTTCCTTCCCTCATAACTTCCACGCTCAAGTCATGGTTACCACAATTCAGTGACTGGGAGGCCATGGAGTAGCAAGCAACGCTCATCTCGATAGAATTTGCGATACTCGCCATCAATTTCGGATGTGGCCACCCGCGGGAAGGTGTGAATGGCCACCCATGATGGAGGGTGATGGGGCGCAGGGCGGATGGCGGGGTTTTACCGTAAACTCGCGATATTACCGGGATTTTTATTCTGTGCGCGCGCGTGCGCTGGTGTGGGTGGCGGCTATTGCGCTTCTTGCGCACGTCTGTAGCGCAGTTCGACTACAAGCGTCCCAAGGTGGGGGATTGCGGAGTGATGCTGTGCGGTAACCTGCGTTGTGTGAATTCAGCCAGCATCGCGGCGCTTCCGCGTCCCACCCCATCCTTTTATGGCAAACGTTGCCATTCCGTGATTCCTCGGCTGTGCATTGCGCGTGTCCGTGCTCTCTGCGCTGTCTGCCGTTCTTCCCGCGTTGCCCGCGTTGCCCGCAAATCCAGTAGTACGTGTCCGCAATTGTCCGCAATTGCTCGCAGTTTCCCGTAAATGTCCGCAATTCCCCGCGTTACCCGCGTTTTCGTGGCACCGGCAGTGCTGCAGGAGTGCGCGGTGGCGTGGAACAGAACCTTCAGCGGGTGGACGGCAGGCGGGGACTGCTGGCTAGCTGAGAAGATCGAGTGCGACGCAAAGGGAATGGTCACCAGCCTGTGAGACGCACTGTTTAGTATCCGCGCCCGCTGCCCGCTGCCCGCTGCCCGCTGCCTGCTGCCTGCTGCCTGCTGCCTGCTGTGGCCTGTATGTTTGTGCGCTGTGTCACGCTGCGTGCTGTAAGCGGTGCTGCGATTTTCTGCTTCCATTTGGCGTCCTTGACAACCGTTCCTTGCAACTGCTTGCCACCTGCTTCTCTTGAGCTCCTACCCTTCCATCCCCCTTCCTCTTTCTCTCTCACTCATCCCACCCCCGCCACACACACCACATACACACACAAGCCCGCTCTACATCGTTTAGAATAGAACAACCTGTCTTCCATCTCTTTGAGAGTTCTCAGAAGCAAACACGTTTTGTCCTCTGCCGACCCTTCCCGCCCCCCACCCCACCATGGCTGCAGGCTGTTCTCGGGCTTAAATATGAACGGAACCGTCCCCACCAGCATCGCCAGCCTCACCGCACTCACTTCCTTGTGCGTGTCACAGTGCCCCCCCCTCTCCTCGTGATTTTACTGTTGGGACACTTCATAATTGAGAGATAACTGTTGGGTTGAGAGACGACTTTTGAGGCGCCTGAAAAACACTCATTTACTTGTGTAATTACTTGTATGTTGTCTGTTGTCTGAAAGTGTAGATCCACTTTCAGGTAATCTCAATTACTTCAGCTTGAGATCTACACAGTTTTGCTCTCTTTGCCCTCTGCCTTCTGCCCTCTGCCCTTCCTGTAGTGACCTCTCTATGAATAATCTCTCTGGGTCCATTCCCTCTTTCATCTCGCGACTCTCTCAACTCTTTTATCTGTAAGCATCTCTCTGCACCAGGGTAAAAAAAAAAACGGCCGTCTTTTTGAAAATTTACCATAAGAACGGCATCGTAAAAAACGGTCGTAAAAAACGGTTTAAAACGGTTCCAGGAGGTGTTTCCTGTTTAACTAACAAAACGGCCACTTAGTGGGACCAATTTGAACCCGAAATGCAGCAGCATGAAGGGGACGGACCCCTTCTTGCATGTATGCGCTTGTTGGCATGATTGAAAATGTTTTCGACCTTGTTTTTCTCTTTTTTCTCTTGGTGAACAGAATTCTCTAAGGTCGTATCTCCAGCAAGTGTCAAGAAAGGCTTGGTGTCAAGCGTTGTTTACGGTTGACACCAAGTGGAGCCGCGTGTGAGCGCGGCTCCAGCCTGGTGTCAATGTTGGGCACATTGGACGATTTCCCGCGATCTCATTGGTTGGTTTAGCTGACACCAGGAGGGATAGTCCTCCATGTGTTTTCGAGTTGGTGTCATGACACTAGCCCCTCTTGACACTTGCTGGAGATACGACCTTACAAAAAAACGGCCGTTTTTTTTTTTTATCACCGTAAAAAACGGACCGTATTTTACGGAAACCGTAATTTTGATCCTTGCTCTGCACCCCTCAAGGTCTCTTCAGAAACAAAAGTGTTAAGGCTGCCGAAATGTTCTATGAACTCTTAAAGCTAGATGCTGACATATTTGTCCCGCTTCGTTTTGTGATGCCCCCCTTATGTTTAGAATAGAAAAGCTGCTGCTTCTAGCCTGCTACAGTCATCCATGCCACATGGCACATGTCTAACGTTTTATGTCATGTGCCGCATACATGTCACATCACAACTCACCCATGGCAGGAACATTGAAGACAACAGTTTCTTCGGGCCCATTCCCTCCACCATCGGGGCTCTCAAGAACCTCAAAACCCTGTAACTGTGCATGTGTGCTGCCATACATGCATGCAATGAATGAACAGCTAAAGAGTCAAGGATCTGCTCACCACCTCTGCCTTGTGCATTCATTCCATAGCACATGCATTCTACTCTGGCTGTTCTCGCATGCCATGCCACTCTCTCTATCGCCTCCCCATTCGCCCTCCCCATTCACATTTGCTTCTCTCGTCCGTCTTCCATTCCTCCAACCCCTCTTCTCTCCACGTTCCACACCCCTCCTCACCATTCACCAGGATGTTAGCAAATACTGGCATTTCAGGAACCATCCCCTCCACCATCTCCGGCCTCTCCGCTCTTACCGTCTTGTCCGTGCCCTCCCTCTCTCCCATCTCTACCGTGACTGTTGTTTCGTGTTGTGCTTCAACCTGCTTAAGGGTTCTGCTGTGCTCACTGACATGTCTATTGGCCTGCCTTTTTTTTTCTGTTCACTGAAACATTCCTTTCCGATATGTGAGGCACATTTGCCATGCTGCCATGCTGCTACCGCACTGCCATTGTGACGCCTCGTATGTTTCAATCAAGATGAACTGATAATGTCTGCCCCTCCCACTTCCCTCTGCATACTACCACCGTGGGTCCACGTGGGAATGCGACCACGCGGCAATGCGTCCACGTGGCAATGCGTCCACGTGGCAATGCGTCCACGTGGCAATGCGTCCACGTGGCAATGCGTCCACGTGGCAATGAACTCGCATCAGCCGATTGTCCAACACTCACCTCAGTGGCACAATCCCGAGTACTATTGGTCGGCTTGCCAGCCTCGAGTACATGTATGTGGTGCTGGGTTGTGAGTATGAGAGGCCTGTCACACACACATGCATGCACGCATACAAGCATGCACGCACACATGCATGCAGGCACACGTTCGCACGCACCACTCACACACACGCTTGCATGCAACCATGCACACACACATGCGTGTGCAGACGCATACTAGCACGCACGCACACACACAAGCACGCACGTATGCGTATGGCCTTTGAGCCACCTCACTCTCTTCTGCTCAAGCACATCCTCCTCCTCCATCTGTCGTAACAACTAATGAACTTTTGACGTTCTCTTTTCAGAAACACAAACCTATTTCCACAGTTAGAATGGTGATCATGATCCGCACAAAGCTGCAATCCTGACTCATCCTCACCCCACCTACTCTTCCCAACTCTGTCCTGTTCCTACACATCCCACAACTGCCCTATCGCAGGACCATCGCCAACACCAACTTGTCTGGCTCGCTGCCAGCCTCCCTTGGTGCTCTCCCCAAACTCAACAAAGTGTCAGACCCATGCGTTCCCTCTCACCCTGCATTCCCTCTCATCCTGATGTGTGTGCGTTCACGTCCGTGTGTGAGTGGATGTGCATGTGTTCACGTCCGTGTGCATGTGTGTGTGTTCTCGTGATTCAACGTTGACTTACATCAACGTTCCAACCCCCTGCGTCCATCCCACACGGCTCAGTGTCTCAAAATCATGCTTGCGGAAACGCCACACTTTGTCCCCCTTGTACCACAATGGGCTGAACAAACCCACAGGCGCACATTTGTGCGACAAGTATGATGCGCATGAAAACGCATGATAGAAGCTGCACAACTTTTGTCACTCGCCTTGCTCTTTCTTCTTTCCTCACCAGCACTCCACATCCTCCCGCCCTGCTCCCATGTCATCTTCCTCTTCAGATTCACCAATGCAGGGGTGACATGCGGCAGGGCTGGCAGCAGCTGTGAGATTCAGCAGAACGCCTCCTCCTTCTTCTGCCGGGTCCTCTGCTTTGAGTTCTGTGCCTCCTGCATCCCTCTCAACGGTGAAGAAATAGATTCTTTACCTTTCTTCTCACATGTGTGACATGCTGTTTGGAATTAGAAATGGCCGCTTTGCCTTTGAGGATTTTTTTTTAGAATTCCCAAAAAACCATACTCGGTGTTTGTTGTTCGTGAAGCTATCTGATGGTTATATAACCTTCCAATAGTCGATTTGCCATCTGACAGTCGTCACGGCTCTCCAGTCTCCAGCACAGTTGCTCCTCTCCCCCTCCACAATCCATCCACACCCCATTTCCCTCCCCCCCTCTCTTCTAACAGGCCAACGCCGCCACCCTCCTCCCCCTCCTCCCTTCTCACCTCCTCTCCCTCCCAGCCTCGCTCTCATGAGCCCCCCTCCTCCTCCTCCTCCTCTGTCTGTCATCTCCTCTCCACTCGCCCCTCCTTCTGCTCCACCACCCTCCACCGGTTTGCCAACCTCTGCAATCGTGGGAATATCTGTGGGAGCGTTTTTTCTTGTGGCTGCTGCTGTTGTGGCGGCTGCATATGTGCACCGGGCAGCCCAAGGATCGAAGCTACAGCCTCTAGCTGCCACAGGTAAGAGCAAAGTTAAGTGTTGTTGGCTCGCACTTAGGGGTATGTATGTGCCACTTGTGGTGCCTCAGCCATGCCATGTCAGCACGCTGTCTGTCTGGCGGCCATTCGTTCTGCTTTTCTCTTCGAGACATACGTCGTTCATTCTTCCTTTCTCCCTATCAACAGCGCGTTGCTGTCGCCACTGCTGCCAACCCTTCCGCTGCTGCTGCTGCTTCTACCCTCCTCTGCTCTGAGCAGTGCCATCATACTGCTCCGCTCCTCTGCTCTGAGCAGTGCCATCATACTGCTCTGCTCCTTATTCCATGCGTGTCACCGTGGTTATCATTCGTCCCACGTACTGCTGCCCTTGCACCCACAGCTGCTGCCAGCCACCATCATCGTTTTCACTGTTGTCTCCTCACCCACCTCTCACCCACTCTCACCCACCTCTCACCCACCTCTCACCCACTCTCACCCACCTCTCACCCACTCTCACCCACCTCTCACCCAATACTCACTCACCTCTCAGCCTAACTCTCACCAACCTCTCGCCATCTATCTCACCATCAACTTCTCCAATCGATTTCCCTCCTCCCCTCGCCCCCTTCTCTCATCTCTCTTCTCCCCCCCTCTCCTTTCTCCACTTCAGCAACTCGTGTCTTCAGCAGTCGCTCCTGCTGTCTCAAGTTCCCCGTGTCTCTCGTGGCACAAGCAACGGGTGGGTGGAGTGACGATAGCAGGGTGCAGGGGCAGGGGTGGAGCAGCAGCAGCAGTGGAGGGCAGAGGTACAAGGCAGTGAGTCTTGTGAATGAGCGCCAGGTGTGGTTCGTGGTGAGGCGCAGTAATGAGGAGCTTTCTGCCAACTTCCAGAAAGAGGTGAGAGAGCTGTGGGTAGCTCTCCACTGCTGCTGCTGCTGCTGCTGGCGTAGTTACCACCATTGCCGCTGCAGCCATATTCTTGCCAACGCTAGCTAGTACTGTGTTGTGCCCCTTGCTTTTTGGCCCCTTGCATTTTGGTACATGTTGTGCCCCTCGAATTCTTCCTTCCCTGCCCAGGTGGCCAAGCTTTGGTCCATCCGCCATACCAACGTGCAGCAACTGCTGGGGCATTGCTGGGAGAAGCGTGACACTGTTTCACCTGCTGCTCCTACTGCTCCTGCTGCTGCTGCTCGTGTTGGTGGTGGTGGTGCCAAGAATCCAGTTGATGCTAGTGCTGATGGTGCTAAGGGAACTAGTGCTGAAATTTCCAGTGTTGCTGATCATGCGGTGGAGCAAGCAGAGGAGCAGGTGCTAGTGTTTGAGTGGGTGCCAGGAGGCAATCTGCACAGCCGCCTCGTTGCAGGTACGTCCACTCGTGGTCCCTCTCCCACCGCATTCTCCTTCACCTCTGCTCCTCTCTGCCCCCTCCTCCTCCGGATCACCGCTTACTTCCTCCCCAATCTGCCGTGCAGAGGGCGGCACCCCTCTGTCGGTGTGGCAGTGCCTGGACGTGACCGCGGGTGTGCTGCGAGGGCTGAAGCACATCCAGAGCCATGGGGTCGTGCATGGCCGCATACACCCACGCAACATCCTGCTTGACACAGCCCTGCAGCCGGTCCTGGCTGGTTGCATGGCCGTGAAAATGGGCGACCCGCTTCCACACATCCCCACAGCACCACCGGCCCTAGCAGCAGTACCAGCAGCCTCAGCATCAATACCATCACCATCACCATCACCAGCACCAGCACCAGCACCAGCACCGGCACGGCCGTCTGCCAACCATGCATACATGGACCCAATCCTGCACGCCTCTGCTCGCGCCACGCCCTCCATGGACGTTTTCAGGTCCGTTCGTGCTGCTCAACTCAACTCCTGACACGCCTCAACAATCCTGTTGCCCAGCAAGACTTCTGCCCTCACTCCCCGTTCCCTCTCCCCGCCTCCTTCTCTCTCTCTCTAATGGTCCTTGTATTCATATAGCAGCAAGGTACAAGCATGCAAGTTATAGAGACAGTGAATAGGCAATCAGATAAGCCTCTCTCTCGAATGGCCCGTGTATTAGCTGAAGGGTGGTACAAAGGTTTGAAGCAGACACATGCAAACTAGGCAAACAAGCAGACCTATCAACCATCACCAACTCCCCTCCCCTCCCCCCGCTGTCCGACCCTAGTGGTCGGACGGGGGCTCGATCAGCTGGTGCAGCTGCCCCTCGTTGAGAGGGGCCCACGGCCCTTGCAGGCTGAGCTCATCCGCCTCCAGGGCCTCGTTGGTCTTGGTGCGGAGGGCATTTGCCTGTGCCCTCTGGAGGCACACGCTCCAGCGCTGGCGGTACTCCGTCAGCAGCTTGGCAGCCTCTCGAGAGGTAGGGGCCGCGTTGTAGCGGAGCTTCGCAGCCAGCTCCGCGCACTGCCGCAGGTAAGCCAGTACCCCCGGCGACGGGTAGCCATAGGTCTCCACGGCCAAGGCGTGGAACCCCACCCACGCATTCCGTCCCGCATATTTCTCCTCCTTCCGAGCAGCTGCCGCCCTAGCCGCCCAACCAGGTGCGCGGTTGCAGTTCTCGTCCTGGAAGGACACTGGGTCGGTCACGGTCACGTCACAAAGCCACACTTCTCCGGTCAGGGGATGGCGGATGGAGACATCCGCTTTAAGGTTTTCAACCAGAGAGTAGGCATAGGTCTCCTTGTGAACCGTGAAGCCTGCTTCCGCCCCTATCCTTGCGATTTCATCCCTGAGAGCATGGTGTGTGGCAGTCCTCCCTTTCCCCTTCTCGCAGCGCATAAGGTGATTCGGGAGGCGGTCATCAGGGAAGGTGGTGCGGTATCGGCAGTCGCACCGCCTTGGGACAGGGAGGGGGAGGCCAAGGCGGAAGGAGGAAGCAGTAGAGTGTTGGGAGGGGCCCAGCCTCAGCGCACAAGAGAGGGGGGTTGCCAGCAGCCAGTCCCCTGCTCCCGGGCCCAGCAGGGACTGCATCCGCTGAGCATGCCCTGAGAGGGGGTTTGGGCGCATACGCCGCGCCGTGTTCAGCACTCGGAGGTAGCGGCGGGTGTGGACCGACAGGGCCAGGGACTGCTGGAGCTTCAGTCCCTTGGGGTCGCTCTTACCAGCCTGAAGGGCCTCCAGGCCGTCAGGGGGCAGGGCCGCTTCAGCTGCAGCTAGGCGCGAGGGCAGGGCTGCTGCGGAGTCCGGGGCGGAGTCCATAAGGGGGAGCAGTGCGGCTATGGCGGGGTGTAGGGAGTCGGCTAGCGAGTGCAGGAGGTGAGCCGCGCCGACCACCGAAGCGAGGTACGCGTAACTCCCTTCCACGGCCGGGTCCGTAATGCCCAAACCCCCCAAGGTAACGGGGAGCGCTGCCTGCCGCCAAATACGCCTCCTTTCCGCGTTGCTCCTTGGCGCGACAATGTGCGCGGCCTCTAGGAACGCGTGGAGCAGCCGCTCCCCCCATGCCGACCATTCTGCTGTGGGCAGGACCTCCAGCGGGGTTGTCCTTGCCAGGAAGGAGGCGCGTCGGCTGACGCAACGTGTGAGGAGGAGGAGGCAGAGCTGCGGGTCCATTTGCGCTAGCAACGGGAGCGGTTCAGCTGCTGCCGTAAGTCTGTCCCTGACTGCCGCGGCGCAGCCCTGCGTTGTGCCGACGGGGCTGCCGAGGATTTGCAGCCCTTCCGTCGAGATGGTGATGCCGGGGGGGACGGAGGCAGGGTCAATTGGGGCGGCGGACCAAGCCGCGCACTTAGCAGGGTTGTGAAGGAGCCCCATGGAGGCGAGCGCGGCTGTGAGGTGGTCGAAGGCCGCGGCGCAGGCAGACGCATCACCGAGCAGCGTGATGTCGTCGGCGTAGGCGAGTAGGACCACCTGCGGGTGAGCCGCTGCCGTCGCAATGAGGCAGGGGTGGATGCTGGCGGCGAATAGAAGGGGGCCGAGGGGATCACCTTGGCGGACCCCCCTGGCGCTTTGCAGTGGAGCCGCTGCGAACTCATGGTCGAGGAAGAGCGAGGAGGGGACTCCGTAAGACAGGCGGACCAGGGGGGTGAGGCTCTCGAGCGCTTCGTTCCTCAACCCCTCGAACACCGCTCTCCTCTCGACCGCGTTGAACGCGTTCGCGAGGTCGATCTGTAGCGCTACTGCCGCGGGGTGGACCTCCAGGTAAGTACGTGCCGTGTGTATAGCGGCCTCAATGCCCCCCGCTACCGCCACGCCGAACTGAAGGGGGACGAAGTGAGATCTAGCGGCGGGCGCGATCAGGAAAAGAGCGGCTTTGGCGATGATCCGAAGTAGGCATTCCCCAACCGCGATCGGCCTCGTCCCACCGTGCGGTTTCGTGAAGGCCAAAAGACGAGAGGCGGTAAGTAGCTCTCCTGCAACGGCTGGTAGCTTCCCTGCCAGAGCCGTGTTGGTGAGGGCTAGGAGGTGGGTGAAGACTTCGGCGTTTCCTAGTGCTGCATCACGGAGATGTTCGAAGGTAGTTCCTGAGGGGCCCGCCCCCACTCCATTGGGGAGCTTGGCGATGATCCTTCTGAAGTCGCGGGCTTCGATAGCGGGAGGGTTTTCCGCTGTGGCAGCGTGCAGCCAATCAGGTAGTTGTTGGGATGCAGGTGGGTGTCTCGTCCTGAGGGCCTTGAGAACTTCAGGTGAGGCTGGCGACACGGGCGTGGCTTGCAGGGATTGCAACGATTTTGAGAGGTTACCACGCTTCGCCAGGCCCTCCGCTCTGGCGAGAATTCCAGTTGTGTCAGGTGCGTGGCGAGGCTGCGGGGGGAGGGAGATCGATTCGGTAGCTTCTTCGTAGAGGCCGGCCCAGAGCCCTTGGCGAAATCGCAGGAGCCTGTTCATCATTGCGCTCCAGTCAGGCTTACGAGCTGACGAGGAGCGAAGAAGTAAGCGAGGGAGGAAGGTGAGTAACATCCAGCCAGGTTCTGACTCGGGGTTGGCTGCCAGGTGGAGTAACGGTGTCAGAAGGCAAATCGCGAAAGACTCGCGAAGGTCTTTTGGAGGGTGGCGGGCGACTGGGGGTTGGCGACTGTCTCGCAGCGGGCCAATGTCCCAGTCGGCAACCTGGGCGAACAGGTCAGTATTTTTCGCCAGGTCGTCGGGTTTGAGCATTGGGGGGGTCGGAATTGGGGCTGCTGAATTCTCATTGGCTGTCGCAGAGTCAACTCCAGTCTCTGTCTCGGCTCGATTTCCCCTCCTTGCGTGATTTCCCCCCGCGGCTCGGTTCTGAGCTGTGGTTCGGTTGGCAGGTTCGCCTCGGACATTTGGGCTGGGGAGCTCCTCTCCTCGAAGCAAAAGTTCCAACTCCTCCTCGTCCTCCTCAGCTTCTGCTCCCAACATCCCCTCTCTTTCAGGGTTAAAAGCAGGGTCACCCTCGTCACTTTCCTCATTCTCCACTTCCTCCTCTGCCTCCTCGCTAAGCGGTTCCTCGCCGCCCTCCGCGCCGTTTCGCATCAGCCTTTCCGCATTTCTCGCGTAGCCGCTTGCACCTGTGCGGCGCCTGTTTGAACCTCGTGTTCCACCACCTCTTCGTCCTCTCTCGTTACCTCGTCGTCCGCGGCGGCTGCCGCGTCCTACGCGGATTCCACGCATTGCTCTTCCAACAGCAGCTCCCTCGCGCCCTGTCTGCGGCGCCGCGACCGTCTCGTTTTCGCTTCGTCGGCGCGCTGGCGTCGGCTGCGATACGATCGGGGGTGATGGACCCATCCGCGAGACGGGATCCGGAGCTGGAGGGTTCCGCGGAGAGCGCGCTGCCGCAGCCTGCGCCTGCCGGGCCTCGTCCGCGTCTCCTTGCGCACCCCTCCGCAAGCGAGCCCGTTCGCCGCTTCGAGCGGGTGCAAACACTTCCCCATCGGCCTGCCGCGCGCCCCACCTCGCCGGAGTATTCGTGGGCGCCTGCACGTGTTGCGTCGAACCGCCCGGACGGTCAGCCGCGGCATGAGCGCGGGTGCTCGCCTCCGCGTCAGCCTCCTCGGCCGCCCTCTCCTCGCCGCCCTTCTCCTGAGCATCGCGAGCACTATCAGCGCGGGGAGGGGGATCAGCGTTCCCCTGCACGTCCTCGCTCTCCTCGCCGCCCATCCCCTCGTGGTTGGGCAGGCCAGCGCTCACCCCGAGCGCGATCCCCCGCGCAACGCTCTCCGCGGCGATCTCCGGCGACGCGGGGGAGGGGGTCGCCTGGGCGTCGCTGGGATTCGGGTCGCCGCGAGCAGTCCCCCCCGCGTCCACATTCGGCTGGTTCCGGGGGACGGCGGGGCCGGCGGAATGGCGGAGGGCGAGGCGGGAATGGCAACCAGCCGGATCCTGCCCTCGATCGCGCTGCGGACACGTTCGTGGAGGTGGTGAGGCAGGCCCGGGCGAGTGGGGCACCGACTCACGTCCACATTGAGGTGACCAACGGTCCCCCCTTCGCCGCGGACCCCGGCCAGGTTGCTCCTCTGCGCGCGCCGACGCTGCGCGAATATCAGCCCGCGCGTGAGGGAAGGGCTCAGTTCCGCACCCCCCGTCAGGTTCCCGGCTTCTCTGCGCCGCGCTTATCTGTTGGCCGGACTCCTGGCTGGCCGACGGCGTTTCCGCGCGAAGCGCTGACTGCACCTCCCCCCACTCGCGCGGGGAGAGACCCCATGCTGACCATGTGCCGGATTTTGAATCTGGCGGAGGCGTGCGAGGTGGTGGCGAACTTGCAGCTGGCGGTGTGTGGGGCCACGCGGAGCTTTCCGAGCAGTTTCGGTCCAGGGTCCCGAGGATCCTGCGTGACTTTGGCAGAATCGCTCGAGTCGGCGTTGGCACCCGTGTCGGATGCGCCCGCCGGGGTAGCTCCCTTAGCCCGTACTTTCCCCCGCCACGTGGGGGATCTTGTAGGGGCTGCTCAAGCCGGGACCCCCTTGGACACGCTCCAGTCGTCGGCGCATCTCTCTCTCTCTCTCTCTCTCTCTCTCTCTCTCTCTCTCTCTCTCTCTCTCTCTCTCTCTCTCTCTCTCTCTCTCGAACTCTCTCTCTCGAACTCTCTGCTGATCCGTTGGATCGGGCTGATTCGAAAGGAGGAAGGAACCATTCTTTCTCCTGCTGACTGCATGTGCTTCCGCCGTTACAAACAGTCAACTCACTGGACCCCCCTTCGCCCTTCTCCACTCCCCCCCATCCCCAACTGCCAGCGTTGGTGTGGTGATGCTGCAGCTCATCACTGGATGCCCTGCCTTGATACCCACAGCTGCCGGCACCGACATCAAGGGTGGCGGTAGTAGCAGCAATAGCATCAGCAGTGTCAGCACAAACAGCTACAACAGCAGCAGCAGCGGCAGCAGCATGAGCAGCAGCAGCAACAGCGGCTCAGTGCACATTCGTGACTGGGTGAGTGCAGAGCAGCTGCAGCAAGGTGCACCTGCACCCGCACCCGCTGCACATGCTTCACTGGCTGCTTTCACCAGTGCGTGCCTGTGAACAATTTTAACCTGACACACGCACCCATTGAGTTGATTTTTGAGGTGCCTCAAGAATCAACTCACCTGCACCCGCACCCGCTGCATGTGCTTCACTGACTGCTTTCACCAGTGCGTGTCCGTGAACAACTGAACCTGACACACACACCCGCCACGCCACGCCATGGCACCTGTGCGTTTGCGTCCATGGGTCTATACCAAGCACTCAAGCATCCTTTTCCTCTCGTTACTCCTATCCGCTGCCGAACACATCGAAAAACTCCCATCCCTGTGCATGCAGGCACATCACCTGGTATCGCGCAACATGACAGCTCAGCTTCGCGCCGCCCACCTGCCCTCAGCACCCGACGCCATCGTGCTGCCCATGGTGCGCCTCGCCCTCTCCTGCACCGCTTCCGACCCCCTCTCCCGCCCCACTGTCACCGACCTGCTCCGCTCCATCAAGGCTCTCAAGCGCTCCCTCTCCGCCCTCCCGCGCCCTGCCCTGCCGGCCAACGCAGGGGCAAGCAGGGATGCTAAGACCGCTGGTGCTGCCGGTGGTGGAGGACTTGGGGAGCAGCAAGGGGGGGAGATTGGGGATGGGTCATCAGGGGGTTTCAGTCAGAATGCGCTAGATTCGAAGCTAGATTGGCTGGTGGAAACGGAAGATAGTGGTAGGTTTGTGACCGATGTGTAAAGAGGAACCTGGTTTAATATTTTGTTTCAGCTGCCTCAAAAAGAGTGCCTCATGAAGGAGGGAGTAACGGCGAAGGGTTGTGGCAGATGAATAGTGATAAGGTGTGGCAGATGAGTAACGATAAGGGGTGTGGTCAATGGGTAGTGATAAGGTGTGGTTGATGAGTAGCGATAGTGTGTTGTATGAGTAATGAAAAGGTGTGTGGTAGATGTGTTAGGAATTTGTCATTCCTGACGCATACAACTCCCACTTTTTGGATGTACATGCTCGGTTCAAAGGCCTCGTATTTGCTAGGCTCACTTGACTGTAAGTGGTTGTATTCACTTAGATATTCAGTTCTGAGCAGTCCCCAATTAGCAACTAATAAGTGTACTCAAGACGGTTACACTTCTTTGTCGTGGGAATTGGCAACTTGCATAAACACCAGAACTATGGCAGTGAAACCCACGAATCGAATTCACGCACAATTCTGATCGCCGAAGCGCGTAAACAATTCGGTTCGGGTGTAGTGTACGTGCGGAGTTGAACAAATCCACGGCGAAATGCAGCGCCCAAGTTGAGAGTCCCACCCAACCAATCATCTCTCAATTCGATCTCTGAAGGTGGGTGGCGGCAGCTTCTACGTCCACTTTCTCTCTTTCCTCCTATACTTCACCAGCGCAGGGAAACAGAATGTATGCTAGAGCTGTATGCCAGTGACTGGGAGTTCATGACGGAGCGAGCAAAGCGCATCCCGAGAGGCTTTTCGAGAGCCGTTTCCTTGGGATGTGGCTGGCCGGTGTGGTTAGGCGGAAAACGGCGCGGAGCGCCTGCGAATGTCGGGGTTTCACTGTGGGTTCGCGGCGTGGGAGTTTCCATGCTTGGCGCGCGTGTGCGCTGGTGTTGGTGGTAGCGGCAATGGCGCTTCTTGCGCACGTCTGTAGCGCAGTTCGGCTACAAGCGTCCCAGGGTGGGGGATTGCGGAATGGTGCTGTGCGTTGAACATGCACTGCCGTGTGCGCCAGCCTGGCTGCGCATGCTGCGGCGTTGCCTCACCTAACCCCATCCCATTGCGACTGTTTCCATCCAGTGATCCCTTGGCTTTACATTTGCGCGTTCTCCCCGTGCTGCCTGGACTGTCACCCGGGCTTCCTGCGTTACCCGCGTTTTCGTGGCAGCGGCGCTGCTGCAGGAGTGCGAGGCGGCGTGGAACAGGACGTTCAGCGGGTGGACGGCAGGCGGAGACTGCTTGCTAGCTGAAATGGTCGGGTGCGACGCAGAGGGAAAGATCGACAGCCTGTGAGTTTGCCGTGTTCTGTGCGCCGTGTGCTGTGGGTGTGCGCGTGCTGTGTCTGCGTGCCGTGCTGTGTGCCGTGCGACTGCCGGGACCCGAACCACCTCCTTCGCTGGGGGACGGGGAAAGAGGGGGGGGCCGCGCGCACAGGCACACACACACACACACATCACGTGCTACGGGGGACGAGTGCGCCAAAATCGCCGCACACTCAGCTGGCACCTACGTACGTACGGCTATTTGCTCCCCCAGCCCCAGGGTACCTACCTCAACACCTGTGGCTCTGCGCCAAGCTAGCTGCAAGACGAGACGCTTGCACAGTGCAGAGCCGGGCCAGGCTCCAGGGAGGTGTTTTGAGACGTCAAAACACTTCTAATTCCACCGGGCTCCAGGGAGGCCGGAAGGAAGAAGTGGTATCATCATGGGTTTGGTCAATTGGTATCACTCCTTCTCCTTGCATTGGAAGCGCTGGTCTGGTCCTCCTGTGAACGTACCGGACCTCCTCCTTTTTTCTGCTCCCCACCGCACCATGGCCACAGGAACTTCTCGGGCTTACATCTGAACGGTACCATCCCCACCAGCATCGCCACCCTCACCGCACTCACCCACTTGTGCGTGTCGCAGTAAAAGATGCGGGCACCCATTGGTTGTAAAAGGTGCCTGTCAATTTCTTGCGTTTCAGGTACGCCACCTTATCACTCCCAGGTGATCACAATTACTGCGGCTTTAAATTCCACGCAGTTTCGTTCGATCTCTCTGCCCTGCCCTCTGCCCTCTGCCCTCTGCCCTCTGCCCTCTGCCCTGGTTGTAGTGACATCACCACGAATAACTTCGCTGGGACCTTCCCCTCTTTCATCACACGCCTCTCCCAGCTCTATCACCTGTGAGCACCTCTCGCCACCTGCTCAGGATATTATTCAGGTACAGAATTGTTACGGCTACGACCAGATTCTCTAAGAGGTCTCATGGTGATATTGCAGAAGATCTCTTTGTCCCGTTTTTTTTGTCATATTTGCCCCTTGTTGTCTGTATCGAATGAGGTGCTGCCGCTAGCCGCCAGACGAACACAATCATGCATGCCACATATCTCATGGCACATGGCACATGGCGCATGGCACATGGCACATGGCGCTTGGCGCATGGCACACGCCGCATGCTGCCGTATTCATACATGTCACATCACATCTCACCCATTCCACATGTCACGTGGCAGGGGCTTTGCTGAAACCAGGATTTCAGGACCCATTCCCTCCACCATCACGGCTCTCAAGAACCTCGGGGAATTGTAAATTTGCACGGGTGCTGCTGTGCATGGGTGCTGCTGTGCATGGGTGCTGCTGTGCATGGGTGCTGCTGTGCATGGGTGCTGCTGTGCATGGGTGCTGCTGTGCATGGGTGCTGCTGTGCATGGGTGCTGCTGTGCATGGGTGCTGCTGTGCATGCGTGCTGCTGTGCATGGGTGCTGCTGTGCATGGGTGCTGCTGTGCATGGGTGCTGCTGTGCATGGGTGCTGCTGTGCATGGGTGCTGCTGTGCATGCGTGCTGCTGTGCATGCGTGCTGCTGTGCATGCGTGCTGCTGTGCATGGGTGCTGCCATGCATGGGTGCTGCCATGCATGGGTGCTGCCATGCATGGGTGCTGCCATGCATGGGTGCTGCCATGCATGTATGTGGTCAACAGCGCAGCTGTCATTGATCTTCTTTCTATCCAGTGCCTTATGCATTCACCCCAACCTGTCCTCTCTCCACGATCACACCCGTGCCTTTCACATACACTCTATAGCAGAGGGTTTCTACGGTCTACCCCAGCAATTCTCGCATGCCACTCTCTCTTTCCCCCTCCATTCGCTCCCTCTCCATTCACGCATGTTTTTTGTTTTTTGACTCTCTTCCAATCCTCCTCCACCACCTCCTCTCTCCACGCTCCACACCCCTCATGGCCCTTTCTCAGGATAATAGCCAACACCAGCATTTCAGGAACCATCCCCTCCACCATCTCCGCCCTCTCCTCTCTCACCTACTTGTCAGCCCCCTCTCTCCCATCCCCACCGAGACAGTTTCGTGTAGTGCCTGACCTTGCCCTTGGGATGCTCTCTGCTGACTCGTCTTTCAGGGCTTGGTTAGCGAAATCTGGCTCACTGGAATGTTCGTTCCCGATATGTGATGTGAGAGGCACATTGGGCACGCTGCTGTTGTGATCTCATGATGTTACTACAAAACGAAACCAACGGACGGACGGACTGACTGACTGACTGGCATGTAAGTCACAGAGCAGAACAAAAAGGACGAGATTGGGATCCAACCAACCAAGCAACCGAACCGAATCGAGCACGCCAGGTGGTGAGTTGAGTTGAGTTGCAACCGTAATGGCATCATGAGCATGAGCATGTACGCCTCTACTGCCATGGCAAAAAGCCCACCCATTCCTGGCGGCGAACTGAGGGCCGGTAGAGACTCTTCTTGTGAGTCGAGTCGACTCAAAAGCATTCCGGGTGAACTGGGGGGCGGGGCGGTATAGCCTCTTTTTTTCGTTCTCCTCCTACTCCCCTCCCCTCCCCCAACTCCACATTTTTCTACTCACCTCACCATGATCATCCAGCAGCAGCATCACACAAGGAGCCTTGGGTCTTGAACTTATTAGCCCACCAATTGCATGCCCTGTTGTCTGCCCCTCCCATTTCCCTCTGCATACTATCGTGTGTCCACCTGGCAATGCATCCCTGTTGCTCGCCAGCGACTTTTCCAGCACTCGCATAAGTGGCACTATCCCCAGTACCATTGGCCGGATTTCCGGCCTCCAGTACTTGTATGTGGTGCTGGGTTGTGAGCATGCAAGGGGTGTCACACACACATGCATTCATGCCCATGTGTGCACACGGTCGCTTGCACGCACACGCACACACACGCACACGCACAAACACACACACACACACACACACACACACACACACACACACACACACACACACACACTCACACGCACACACACACACACACACACACTCACACGCACACACACACACGCACGCGCATGCACGCACGCACGCACCCACGCCCACGCACGCACGCACACGCGCATGCGCGCATGCATCACACACCACGCGCACACGCACGACCTCACCAGTACAGAACAGTGCGTGCATGTGGCCTTCGAGTCACCTCACCCTTTTCTGCTCAAACTCATTCATGACTTCTCCTCACCCACCTACTCCTCTCCATCTGCCCGTCCTTTTCCTTGTGTCTCTCACCCCACAACCGTGTGCGCTGTTACAGAATCGCCAGCACCAACTTGTCTGGCTCGCTGCCAGCCTCCCTTGGTGCTCTCCGCAATCTCATCCAAGTGTGGGCCCCTCTGCACTGCGTCTCACCCTGCCCTCCATCACACACCACATTCTTTGGGTGTTTGTGTGTGTCTGTGTGTACTTGTGTGTGTGTGTGTGTGTGTGTGTGTGTGTGTGTGCGTGCGTGCGTGTGTGGAGGGGGGCGGCGGGGAAGGGAGGGGGGTGTTTAGTGTGTGCATGGATGTATTTCAAGTCCTTGTAGGGACTCACCTAGCTGCTACCTAAATTCCGTGAGTCTTGACGCACACCACAGGCATGCTACTGAAAGCGTTATTCCTCACTTCTGACATGAGTCTCCTGGAGCCCTACATATTAGACTGAACGTTAGATCTGTAGGCTTGCTGTGGTCGAAGCTCTCCAATCTCTTGCATTGGAATGCATCAAAGTCGGGTCGGGCGGCGGTTGTCCGTTGGGCTATGAATGAACAAATGTGAAATCATCTAGCAAAAATATAAACTGTAGTACATAAAAGGAACCATCATTGCCTGCAGGACGGTCGCCTTTCCACAGTCTTCCCCGCTACTCTTCCCCGCTACTCTTCCCCGCTACTCTTCCCCGCTACTCTTCCCCGCAACTCTTCCGCGCTACTCTTCCCCGCTACTCTTCCGCGCTACTCTTCCCCGCTACTCTTCCCCGCTACTCTTCCCCGCTACTCTTCCCCGCTACTCTTCCCCGCTACTCTTCCCCGCTACTCTTCCCCGCTACTCTTCCGCACTGCTCTTCCCCGCTACTCTTCCGCGCTACTCTTCCCCGCTACTCTTCCCCGCTACTCTTCCCCGCTACTCTTCCCCGCTACTCTTCCGCGCTACTCTTCCGCGCTACTCTTCCCCGCTACTCTTCCCCGCTACTCTTCCCCGCAACTCTTCCGCGCTACTCTTCCCCGCTACTCTTCCCCGCTACTCTTCCCCGCTACTCTTCCCCGCTACTCTTCCCCGCTACTCTTCCGCGCTACTCTTCTCCGCTACTCTTCCCCGCTACTCTTCCCCGCTACTCTTCCGCGCTACTCTTCCCCGCTACTCTTCCCCGCTACTCTTCCCCGCTACTCTTCCGCGCTACTCTTCCCCGCTACTCTTCCGCGCTACTCTTCCCCGCTACTCTTCCCCGCTACTCTTCCCCGCTACTCTTCCGCGCTACTCTTCCCCGCTACTCTTCCCGCTACTCTTCCCCGCTACTCTTCCCCGCTACTCTTCCGCGCTACTCTTCCGCGCTACTCTTCCCCGCTACTCTTCCCTGCTACTCTTCCCCGCAACTCTTCCGCGCTACTCTTCCCCGCTACTCTTCCCTTCCCCGCTACTCTTCCCCGCTACTCTTCCCCGCTACTCTTCCCCGCTACTCTTCCCCGCTACTCTTCCCCGCTACTCTTCCGCGCTACTCTTCCCCGCTACTCTTCCCCGCTACTCTTCCCCGCTACTCTTCCGCGCTACTCTTCCCCGCTACTCTTCCCCGCTACTCTTCCCCGCTACTCTTTCCGCGCTACTCTTCCCCGCTACTCTTCCGCGCTACTCTTCCCCGCTACTCTTCCCCGCTACTCTTCCCCGCTACTCTTCCGCGCTACTCTTCCCCGCTACTCTTCCCCGCTACTCTTCCCCGCTACTCTTCCCCGCTACTCTTCCGCGCTACTCTTCCGCGCTACTCTTCCCCGCTACTCTTCCCTGCTACTCTTCCCCGCAACTCTTCCGCGCTACTCTTCCCCGCTACTCTTCCCCGCTACTCTTCCCCGCTACTCTTCCCCGCTACTCTTCCCCGCTACTCTTCCCCGCTACTCTTCCGCGCTACTCTTCCCCGCTACTCTTCCCCGCTACTCTTCCCCGCTACTCTTCCCCGCTACTCTTCCGCGCTACTCTTCCCCGCTACTCTTCCGCGCTACTCTTCCCCGCTACTCTTCCCCGCTACTCTTCCCCGCTACTCTTCCGCGCTACTCTTCCCCGCTACTCTTCCCCGCTACTCTTCCCCGCTACTCTTCCCCGCAACTCTTCCCCCCTACTCCCCCATACTCCCTTGCCTTTTCACCTTTTCCAGAGTCACCCCTGTAGGGGTGACATGCGGCAGGGCTGGCAGCAGCTGTGAGATTCAGCAGAACGCCTCCTCCTTCTTCTGCCGGGTTCTCTGCTTTGACTTCTGTGCCTCCTGCATCCCTCTCAACGGTGAAAAGTGAATCGTATTGCATCGCTCTGCTCGCCTGTGCGTCTCCCACTGCAAATGGATCCGCTTCTCCTTTGCAGTTTGCAGTTTGCAGTTTGCAGTTTGCAGCTCCTGACATCACAGTTCGCCCACACAACACCTGTTTTTTTCCCTGGCACAACCCCTCTCCTCTCTCCCCACAGGCCAACGTCGCCACCCTCCTCCCCCTCCTCCCCTCTCATCTCCTCTCCCTCCCAGCCTCGCCCTCATGACCCCCCCACCTCCTCCTCTGTCTTCTCTTCTTGCCGTGTCCTCTGCACTCGCCCCTCCTCCTGCTCCTCCACCCTCCACCGGTTTGCCAACCTCTGCAATCGTGGGGATATCTGTGGGAGCGGTGTGCCTGCTTGTGGCTGCTGCTGCTGCTGCTGTCGTGGCTACTGGGTGTGTAAAGGCGGGACCTCAGGAATCGAAACTACAGCCACTACTAGCTGCCTCAGGTAAGAGCAGGTTCAAAAGCCACTTTTGAGAATTCTCAAAAGCCACGAACGACTCACAGAGGTATGTGGCATGGCTGGCTCTTAGGGGCATGTGGCATGCTGCTGCTCAGCTGCCGCCACTCCTGCTGCCACGGCTGCCCCTGCTGCCTCTGCTGCTCCTGCTGCTGCCCTAGCTGCCGCTTTTGCCCCTGCTGCCGCTGTTAACGTTGTCATCATAGTTCCTCGTTCGACGCATGTCACGGCCTTAAGCATTCACCCCACACATTGCTGCAGCCAGCCACCAACATCGTTTCCACTGATGCCAGCATCCCCTCTCATCTCACCATCATCTCATCATCAACTTCTCCACCCTCTTTCCCTCCTCCCCTCAAAACCCTCTCTCCTCTCTCCTCTCTCCTCTCTCCTATCTCCTATCTCCTCCTCTCTCCTCGCTCCTCTCTCCTCTCTCCTCTCTCCTCTCTCCTCTCTCCTCTCCTCTCTCCTCTCTCCTCTCTCCTCGCTCCTCTCTCCTCTCTCCTCTCTCCTCTCTCCTCTCTTGCCTCCCCTCTTTCCTCTCTCCCCTCTCCTTCCTCCACATCAGCATCCCGTGTCTTCGGCAATCGCTCCCGCTGTCCCAAGTTCCCCATGTCTCTCGTGGCACAAGCAACGGGTGGGTGGAGTGAGGATAGCAGCATTGGCACCAGCAGCAGCAGTGGGGGCACCAGCAGCAGCAGTGGAGGGCAGAGGTACAAGGCAGTGAGTCCTCTCGAAGCGCGCCAGGTGTGGTTCGTTGTGAGGCGCGGCAACGACGAGCTTTCCACAGACTTCCAGAAAGAGGTGAGAGAGCTGGGTATGGTTCTCCACTGCTGCAAATGTTGCGTCGGCTGCTGCTGCTGCTTCTGCTGCTGCCGCTGCTTCTGCTGCTGCCGCTGCCGCCGCCGCTACCACCAATGCCGCTGCAGCAATTCTGGTGCCAATGCTAATATTGTATCGTGTTGTGCCCCTTACATCTTGTCCCTCCCTTCCTTGTGCGTGCCTCCTTGCCTGCCCAGGTGGCCTCGCTTTGGTCCATCCGCCATACCAACCTGCAGCGACTGCTGGGGTATTGCTGGGAGAAGCGTGACAGTGACACGCCTGCTGCTTCTGCTGCTGATGCTGGTTCTGCTGGTTCCGGTGCTGCTGCTGCTGCTGCTGCTGCTAATATTGCTAGGAGTACTAGTCCTAATAGTGCTAAGAGTGCCAGTGCTGATACTGTTAAGAGTGCTACCGCTGATAACGTTGAGAGTGCTCGTGCTAATTCTGCTGCTGCTGCTGCTGCCAGTCATGCGGTGGAACAAGCAGAGGAGCAGGTGCTAGTATTTGAGTGGGTGTCAGGAGGCAATCTGCACAGCCGCCTTGTTGCAGGTACGTTCACTCTTGGCCCCCCTTGCCCTCTCCTTACTCTCTCCATGCCTATCCCTCCCTCCATGACTCTGCCTCTCTGCTTGCTGATTGCACTCCAGCCACTGCCGGTGTTTGTCTGATCCACTGTACCAGACTACTCATTTCCCACCACCCATTTTTCTCCATGCTCTCCCCGGTTCCTTTCATTATCATTCCCCACCACCCTTTTTTCTTTGCCATCTCGCAATGTTTCCCTCTGTTCCGCTCAGCTTTACTCTGCTCCTCTCTGTTCCCCTCTGTCCCAATTCTCCCATCTCCTCCCCTCTCTCACCCCCTCACCCTCTCCTCCCCTCTCTCAACCCCTCTCCCCCTCCTCCCCTCTCTCTCTCAATTCTGAAACACCACTTACTTCCCCCTCTGTAACACCACTAGTTTAATTCTCTTCCACTCTTCTTCTCTCTACTCCCGTCTGTCGCCATCCTCTTTTGAAACACAACTTACTTCCTCCCGATCACCACTTACTTCCTCCCGCCATGCAGAGGGCGGCGTCCCTCTGTCGGTGTGGCAGTGCCTGGATGTGACCGCGGGTGTGCTGCGAGGGCTGAAGCACATCCAGAGCCATGGGGTCGTGCATGGCCGCATACACCCACGCAACATCCTGCTTGACTCCGCCATGCAGGTGACCTCCTGTCTGCCCTGGAGGTTATCTGACACTTTCCGTGCAAGTGACCTCCCATCTGCTGTCCAGGAAAAGTCTAAATTGCCGTGCAGGGGTACTGACACACTAGTTTTCTGCTAGGCACAGTCACCTTCTTTCCATTCTCCCAGCCCCGCCCTCCTCATCCCATGAACCATGCGTTTCTCTGCATTGCATTGCATTGTCACCACTTCTTTCCTCTCGCCTCCCCACTACCCTCAGCCTGTCCTGGCTGGTTGCATGGCCGTGAAAATGGGCGACCCGCTCCCATCCATCCCCACAGCAGCAGCAGCATCAGCAACAGCAGCAGCAGCATCAGCAACAGCAGCAGCAGCATCAGCAACAGCAGCAGCAACACCATCAGCAGCACCACCTGCAGGTGCACCATCAGCACCACCATCAGCATCAGCAGGTGCATCGGTGGCATCAGCAGGAAGGGTCACACGGCCACCAGCCAACCATGCATACATGGACCCGATCCTGCATGCCTCTGCTCGCACCACACCTACCACTGATGTTTTCAGGTCCGTGCTGATTAACTCAGCTGGAACTGGTTAGGGTGATTCTCAGTAGTAATACTGTGCTGCTCAATTTCTGACACATCTACACAACCGTGCCATGCTGCTCTGCTCCACCTCTGCTGCTCGTCTGAACAACTGTCCTGCTCAGCTCCACCCCTTCTACTCACGAATTCACCCAGACAAGTCGTTGCAACAGTATTTGTCGCATCCTTTTCTCCCTACCCTGTCTCCTGATGCACCTCTACCTGTCGCCGTTTTTCTTTCCCCTCTCCGCGCCCTCTCTACCCGACTTCTCTCCCATTGCTTACTCTGTGCGTTGAACCAGTTGCTGCTGCTAATCCGTCCGAACCAGATCCCCCCAACTCAGAAGCAGGAACCAATTATTCTGATGCTGAACGCATGTGCTTGTGTCGCAACTAAACCAGCTGAACGCCTCTCCTCCCGCCTCAACTTTTCTCTCCACTTCCCCCACCCCCCCATCCCCACCTGCCAGCATTGGAGTGGTGATGCTGCAGCTCATCACTGGACGCCCTGCCTTGATCTCAAAAGATGCTGGCAACGGTCGGCAAGGCAACAGCTCTGGCACCCCTGGCGGCAGTAGCAGCAACAGCAGCAACAGCTACAACAGCAGCAGCAGCATGAGCAGCGGCTTCAGTGACAGCAGCTCTGTGCACATTCGGGACTGGGTGAGTGCGTGCGGTGTGGGCTGCTCCCAGAGTGGTTCTTCTTGTTGTTTCTGACATGTGTAAGACGTGCTGAGCTGCTGCAGGAAGGTGGCCCCGTGTGTGCATGCACACTGCTCATAGAATCCGCACACGCTCTCTCTTTCTCTCTCTCCTCTCATGCCATTGCACAATACACTTGAGCTTAACACACACCAGCCACGCCGCGCCAGGACACCAGTGCGTCCGCCTCTATGGATCCACAACAATCACTGGTGCATGCCACTCATGCATCCATCTCCTCCCTGTCATTCCTCATGCATGCAGGCACAGCACATGGTATCGCGCAACATCACGGCCAACCTGCGCGCGGCCCACCTGCCCTCAGCACCCGACGCCATCGTGCTGCCCATGGTGCGCCTCGCCCTCTCCTGCACCGCTTCCGACCCCCTCTCCCGCCCCACTGTCACCGACCTGCTCCGCTCCATCAAGGCTCTCAAGCGCTCCCTCTCCGCCCTCACGCGCCCTGCCCTGCCAGGCCACACAGGGGCGAGCGGGGATGGTGACTCCGCCAGTGCAGCGGGCAGTGGGGGCGCTGAAGAGCAGCAGGGTGGGGAGATTAGGGATGGTCTTTCTGGGTGTTTCAGTCAGAATGCGTTAGATGCAAAGCTAGATTGGCTCATAAGGGAAGATGATAGAGGTAGGTTTGTGACAGATGTGTAGGGACCTGGCTAAATGTTTCTGCTGAGTGACAGATAAGTACCACCATATATGCATCTTTCCGTCTGCACTCTCTTCCTTAATAGCTGCATGCCTGTGCCTCCCCGCACACCTTGGGCCTTCAAGCATGGGTACCCCCTTTTGTGCAGGCGAAGTTGACTGGTGAGACTCCAATTTCTTCCCTGGAAGGAGTTGCAAAACTAACAGATAATAGTAGGAAGGGTGAACTCTAACTTTCCCTTATCGTTTGCGACAAAATGGCCCCTGAAACAAAATACTGTAGAGCCTGGGTACGTTTTCCCCGAAAGTTGCAACTCCCAACCAATCGTATCGTGTTTCGGTCCCTCCCAATCGCAACGCACGTGGTGGGTGGGAGTGTCACTGTCAAGTCGACGACCTTCCCCTTACGTTCTTGCTTTCCCCCGAGACTTCCCCGCGCATGTACAACCCAGGTCATGGTTACCACAACCCAGTGACTGCGAGGCCATGGCGGAGCGAGCAACCTTCATCTCGAGAGGCTTTTTTAGAGCCGTTTCCTTGAAATGTGGCCGGCCGGGGGAAGGTGTGGATAGGCGGAAAACGGGGCGGGGCGCATGCGAATGTCGGGGTTTCACCGTGGGTTCGCGGCGGGGGGGGTTTCAAGCTTGGCGCGCGTGTGCGCTGGTGTTGGTGGTAGCGACAATGGCGCTTCTTGCGCACGTCTGTAGCGCAGTTCGGCTGCAAGCGTCCCAAGGTGGGGGATTGCGGAACGGTTCTGTGCGTTAACGTGCGCGACTGTGTGCGTTCAGCCAGCATTCTTTGGCATTGCCTCACGTATCCCCATCCCATTGCGACCTTTTCCATCCCGTCATTCCGTTGCTTTACATACGCACGTGCCACCGCTGCCTGCCGCGCGCTGTCGCCCGTTCTTCCTGCCGCGTTGCCCGGCGCGTTTCCCGCGTTGCGTGGCAGCGGCGGTGCTGCGGGAGTGCGAGGCGGCGTGGAAAGCGACCTTAAGCGGGTGGACGGCCGGCGGGGAATGCCTTCAAACCGATTTGATCGAATGCGATGCAGACGGAAAGCTCAACAGCCTGTGAGACACACACCCTGTACCCGCGTGCGCGACTTGTACCTTGTACGCCATGCGCTGTGTTTTGTGCGTGCGACTGCCTTGTACGTGCTGTGTGCTGTGTGTTGTCCGTGCCTTGTACGCCATGTGCTATGTGTTGTGTGTTGCGTGTGTTGTGAGTGCGACTGCTGCCGGGACCCGAACCACCTCCTTTGCTGAGGGACGGGGAAAGGGGGCACAGGCACAGGCACAGGCACAGGCACAGGCACAGGCACAGGCACACGCATACATCATGCGCTAAGGGGCGAGAGCGCCAGAATCGCCGCAGACTCCAGCTGGCACCTGCAGGGAGGCTGAACCGAGAGAAGCGGTATCATCGGTTTGGTATCACTCCCTCCTCCTCCTCCTCGCAAGCGCTGGTCTGGTCGTGTGTGTGTTGTGTACGACGAACCTCCTCTTCCGCTCCTCCCCTCCCCACCACGGCCGCAGGAACTTTGGGGGCTTGAATCTGAACTGCACCATCCCCACCAGCATCGCCACCCTCACCTCGCTCACCCGCTTGTGCGTGTCCCAGTTGCCCCCCTCTCCCCGTGTCTGTGAGACATTGTGAGACTCGCTGCACTCGAATCCTCCTTGCTATAGTGCAGTACGGTCGCGTGCAGTGCAGTGTGGTTCAGTGCAGTTCAGAACGTGAGAGAGGCACGCTGCCATTGTGATGCATGCCTCTCATGTCACATAACGAATTGACTTTTGAGTCGACTCAAAAGTCAAGAGGCACGCTGCCATTGTGATGCATGCCTCTCATGTCACATAACGAAACTGACAGACTGATTGACATGTAAGGCGATGAACAAAAAGGACGGGATTGGGGTCCAAGTTCCAACCAAGCAGCCTTCTCGAGCACGCCAGGTGGTGAGTTGAGTCGCAACCGTAGTGGGCAGGCATCATGGGCATGTACGTCTCTCATCCTCCGTGCCCATGATGCCCATGATGCCCATGATGCCGTTCGCCAGGAATGGGTCGGCTGTTTTTTTGCCCTGGCAGTTGCAACCGTAACGGCATCATGGGCATGTACGTCTCTCTACTGCCAGGGCAAAAAAACAGCCGACCCATTCCTGGCGAACTGGGGGGCTGTAGAGACTCTCTTTCATTCTCCTTCTATTCCTCCTCCTACTCCACCCCTCCTACTTCTCCTCCTACTCCCCCAACTCCCCATTCTTCTCCTCACCATGATCTTTCAGCAGCAGCATGGCACAAGGAGCCTTGGGTCTCTCTCTCTCTCATCTCACAAGGAACCCTCTGTCCCACCATTTGCATGCCCTGTTGTCTGCCCCTCCCATTTCCCTCCCTTGGCGGCATACTATCGTGTGCCCACCTGGCTATGCGCTGCATGCCAGCGAATTTTCCAACACGCGCATCAGTGGCACCATCCCCAGCACTATTGGTCGGCTTTCCGGGCTCCAGTACTTGTATGTGGTGCTGGGTTGTGAGCATGCAAGGGGTGGCACACATGCCTCATGCATGCACACTCATGCATTCATGCACATATGTGCACATGGTCGCACGCAGGCATACAGGCACGCACGCACGCTCGCACACACATGCACCCACGCTCGTACAGAACAGTGCGTGCATGTGGACCTTTCACCTGACCCTCTTCTGCTCAAACCCATTCATGATCACAACTCCACAACTGATTAATCTTAGCAGATCTAAAAGGGGAAAATACAAAGGGTTACAGACTTATCTTCACGACTTGTGTCATTATCCTTACTAGGGTGCCATCATGACTTCTCCTCACCCCACCTAATCCTCTCCATCAGCCCGTCCTCTTCCTTCTGCCGGTCACCCCGCAACCCCACTGTTCCAGAGTTTTCGCCAACACCAACGTGTCTGGGTCGCTGCCGGCCTCCCTTGGTGCTATCCCCAATCTCATTCAAGTGTGGGGCCCCTGCACTCGCGTCCCACCCTGCCCTCCATCACACACCACATTCTTTGGGTGTTTGTGTGTGTGTGCATGTGTGTGGAGGTGGAGGGGGGAGGTGGGGTTGGGGAGTGGGGATGTGTGTAGAGTAGAGACTCACCTGGCTGCTGCCTTGATTTCGTGATTTGATTCTCGATGCCCTGAAGTCTTGCATGCTCAATTGTTGTGGCATTCCGTTCTTTCTTTACAATCCTGTTATGTTCACCACATGCACACCACCACAAACGACCACACCGGTTCCACAGACCTACGTTGGCAGATACGAGTATCACGTATAATACGCTAGCGTATTATACGCTGGGTATATACGCGGTACGCCAGGGGTGGCGTACTGGTGATACGTAAAAATACGCTGGGCGGGCAGGTAAAACTTTTTTACCGGGCAGGGCTAAAAAAACCTGCTTCAGGGGGGGTGGTAATGTTTCCCAAAAACACATGTCATAAATTATTTTCATAAATATCCAGAATTACATCTTTGAGGCTACTTCTCCCCACCCCATACATCCCCACCCCATACATCCCCACCCCACCCTCTAGCTAGCTTCCCCACAGCCGAGTTCCTTGCGAGGCTTTTCCAACACCACCCCTGCCCCGTACTCATCCGCCAGAACTGCATCCTCTCCTTCCCCCCCCAGCAGGTCATCCTCCTCCTCCTCGTCCATGTTGTAGCCGCGAGGGATAGGGGCATCCGGGATGTTACCGGGCACAACCGTGCTGCCCCCATCCTTCTTGCCCCCATCTTTCTTGTACCAATTGCGCACAACGTTCCAGTTGTGCGCAATGTAAACGAGGTCCGCACACTTGGCGGACCCGAGCCGGTTGCGGCGGGCGGTGTGGACGCCTTCCCACTGCGCCCAGCCACGTTCGCATGGGGAAGCCGAGACGGGCTGAGTGAGCATCCGGCATGCGAGGGTGGCAAGCTCAGGGTACTCGGTGATGTGCCACGACCACCACTGCACCATGCTCATCTCCCCCTTCTTCACTGCCTCCCTTGCAGATATGGCGGCCGGCGTGCCAAAGCTGCCCTCCATGTTGATGTAGGCCAGCAATGCCTCCTGCAGCACAAGGGAGGCGCGGCGAGGGGCGCCATCCTTGCCACGCCTGAAGGTTTTGTTGTCGTAGTGGCGCTCGATGTAGGCCTTGAACACTCGAGTGCACTCCACATCGTTCCTGAAAATTCCCTCCACCTGGTTGGTTGGATTAAGGATCCGGCCAACCACATGCATGGGGCAGGCAAGGGAGTTGTCCCACCTGTCCTTCACAATCTTGGTGATATCTGCCTTTTCCGCCCTTGTCAAATAGTCGCCTGCCTCGTCCAACTTGTCATTGATGACTTCGGTAAGTTGTAGCATGATATCATACAACTTACCCATCCTCACCTTAGCCGAGGAGTCCGTGGCCCGCATGACCTTGTACGGCACCGCCATGAGAGAGGTAAAAAACACCGCCAGCCCCCACCACTCCTCATCCATCACGGCAGCCCTGAACTTGTCAGCTACAATCTTCCTGTCCTTGTCCGCCGCTGCCCACTCATTCCACTCGTCGCTGAGAACCATCTGCGCCAGCCCACCCCGCACCTCGCATAGCCGGGACAGAGCTATGTACTGCGTCCCGAACCTGGTCCCTGCGGGCTTGAGCACCTGTTTCCCCCCACCCTTCTTCATGTAAGCACGGGTGAAGTGGTGGTTGCGCACAAAGGTAATCATCATCCCCCCCTTCTCCACGAGCCCCTTCGCCCATCCCATCTTGCCCACGTCTTCCATCATCAGGTCCAGGACATGCGTGGCACATGGCACATGCTCAATGTGCGGCCATGTGCTCGCAATCTTCTTGGCTGCCGAGGCATAGTTGCTGCCGCCATCAGTGCAGACCGCCATCAGTGCAGACCGCCACCACATTCTCCGGCCCGACCTTATCAATGACGGGCCGGAGAAGGCTGGCGATGTACCCCCCGGTCTTCGACTCCATGTTGCAGTCCACCGCCTGCTCGAACACTGCGCCGGAGTCGTTGACAAGGAGCACGTTGGCCTGCGGGCGGCCACAACGGTCCGTCATCATGTCCGACGACACGGTGACCCCGTCCCGCTTCCAGCTCGCGGCAACGGGGGCGAGCGCCTCCTCCATTTTCTGCCGCACCTTCTTCAAGCCCGCCCCTCCAATGTAGCGCCTGTTGGGGGGGACGTACCCCGGTCCAGCGCGCGCAAAGCACTGGACCGCGTAGCGGAAGACCGGGTCATCCACGATGCGCTCGGGAAGTCTTAACGCCGCGATCAAAAGGCAGAGGGCGTTATCCGCGTCCTCCTTGGCGCGCGCCGCCTCATCGCTGAAGAAGGACGATATCTTCCCCTTCTTCTCTGAAGAACCAGTGACCGCGCCCAGCGCGGAGTCAATTGCTGCAGCGGCCGCCCCTCGTTTGACGCCCTGCTTCTCCACCTTCTCCTCGTACATGCCGCGCACTTCTTCACTGACTGCCGGGGACACCTTCTTGCAAAGCCGGACAGCGCGTTTCTCCTGCCCTTTCCATTTCGCAAGGTGAACCGCGCAGCGATTGGTTCCGCCCTCAAACGTGAAGTCACAGAACTTACACATCTTGGGAGTGCCTTTAGTATGGTACGGAATGAGAAAATGTTTCAGAATGGGGTTCGAAAGGCCAGCCTCGACAGGCTCCCTATTGATTGGGCCATTAGACGCGTTAACAGATGCAACATTGCTCGTCGCAGCAGGAGGGGTGGAGGTAGACGCCATGAGGACGAACGGGAGAAGAGAGCTACGGGAATAAAAGCGAGCACTGCAATTGAATGAAACAAAGAAACTTGTCATCCATTGTATGAGGAGACGAGTTGCTGGACAACATTTGAGTGGTGGGGTTGGAGATGAGAGGTTTGGTGGGGTGGTGTGTGGTTGGGGGGTTGGAAGGTTTGGAACTCGAAATTTGAATTTCAGAACTGGGTTGGGCGATGTGCGACTTCGCGGTAACAAATCGCGAAGTCGCAACACCTTCGCGAATTTTTTCAATTTCGAAAAAAAAAAATTGGCGGTCTGCCCGAGCGTATTTCCAAGAAATACGAGCGTATTGGCGTACCACGTACATACGCTTGCGTATGTACGTGGTACGCAACCCTGCCTAGGGCGTATCTGCCAACGTAGCCACAGACGCACGCACAGGCACGCCACTGGCATGGCATGCATTATGCCACAGACATGATTCTCATGGAAGGAAGCGCAAGTAGGCAGATAACTTCGAAAGGCATCAATGTTGGGGCATGTTTCTTGGGGGCTGATAATGATATGTATGTATGTATGTATGTATGTATGTATGTATGTATGTATGTATGTATGTATGTATGTATGTATGTATGTATGTATGTATGTATGTATGTATGTATGTATGTATGTATGTATGTATGTATGTATGTATGTATGTATGTATGTATGTATGTATGTATGTATGTATGTATGTATGTATGTATATATAAGCAAAAAGAACAACAGTACAAAAAACCATCGTCACCTACGCATCTTTGGCCGGTCGCCTTTCGCCTCGTCCTTTCCACTCTCTTCCCCGCAACTCTTCCCTACTCCCCTACCTGCCATCTTTCCAGAGTCACCCCTGCAGGGATGACATGCGGCACGGATGGCAGCAGCTGTGAGATTCAGCAGAACGCCTCCTCCTTCTTCTGCCGGGTTCTCTGGTTTGACTTCTGCGCCTCCTGCATCCCTCTCAACGGTGAACAAGTGATATCCATGTCTCCCACTGCAAATAAAATTGCTTCTTGTGTTCCCGTGTGGAAGTGGCATGGCATTCGTCAGTCTTCAAGGCATTTCAGTCTTCAAGGCATTCGTCAGTCTTCAAGGCATTTGTCAGTCTTCAAGGCATTTGTCAGTCGTGAAGGCATTATCAGCCAGCATGCCATCTGACAGTTTGTATTGACATCACAGATTGCTCACACAACATCTGCTCTTCCCCTCCACATTCCCTCTCTCCCAACAGGCCAGCGTCGCCACCCTCCCCCCCCCTCCTCCCCTCTCACCTCCTCTCCCTCCCAGCCTCGCTCTCATGAGCCCCCCGCCTCCTCCTCTGTCCACTCTTATTGCCGTCTCCTCTGCACTCGCCCCTCCTCCTGCTCCTCCACCCTCCACCGGTTTGCCAACCTCTGCAATCGTGGGGATATCCGTGGGAGCGCTGTGCCTGCTTGTGGCTGCTGCTGCTGCTGCTGCTGTTGTGGCTGCTGTGTGTGTGAAGCGGAGAGATCAGGATTCGAACCTACAGCCACTGCTAGCTGCCTCAGGTAAGAGCGAGTTCAGTTCTCTAAGAAGCATGTGTGTGGCATGGCTGGCTGGCAGTCATGGCAGCCATGACCACCGGTTTCACTGTTGCCTGCCTCACCCACCTCTCACCCACCTCTCACCCACCTCTCTCCCACCTCTCTCCCACCTCTCACCCACCTCTCTCCCACATCTCACCCACCTCTCTCCCACATCTCACCCACCTCTCTCCCACATCTCACCATCAGCTTCCAGACTGTTCCCCCTCTCCTCTCTCCCCTCACCCCCCTCTCTACTCTCCCCTCTCTCCGCTCTCCTCTCTCCTCTCTCCCCCTCTCCTTTCCCCACTTTATCATCCCGTGTCTTCGGCCGTGCCCGCTGCCCCAAGTTCCCCGTGTCTCTCGTGGCACAAGCAACGGGTGGGTGGAGTGAGGATAGCAGCATTGGCACCAGCAGCAGCAGTGGAGGGCACCAGCAGCAGCAGTGGAGGGCAGAGGTACAAGGCAGTGAGTCCTCTTGATGCGCGCCAGGTGTGGTTCGTTGTGAGGCGCGGCAACGACGAGCTTTCTACCGACTTCCAGAAAGAGGTGAGAGATTTTTTTATACTTCTCCACTGCTGCTGCTGCTGCAGCAGCTGCTGCAGCAATTTTGGTTCCAATGCTAGTATTGTATCGTGTCGTGCCCGTTACATCTTGCCCTTGTATCCCTCTCTTCCTTGTGGCTGTTTCCTTCCCTGCCTGCCCAGGTGGCCACGCTTTGGTCCATCCGCCATACCAACCTGCAGCGACTGCTGGGGTATTGCTGGGAGAAGCGTGACAGTGCCCTTGGCCCTGACTCACCTGCTGCTTCTGTTGCTGATGCTGCTTCTTCTGATGCTGCTGCTGCTGCTGCTGCTGCTGCTGCTGCTGCTGCTGCTGCTGCTCCTGCTCCTGCTGCTGATAGTGCTAAGAATGCTAGTGCTGATAGTGCTAAGAGTGCTACCGTTGATAGTGTTGAGAGTGCTAGTGCTAATACTGCTGCGGCTGCTGCTCCTGGCAGTCATGCGGTGGAGCAAGCAGAGGAGCAGGTGCTAGTGTTTGAGTGGGTGCCAGGAGGCAATCTGCACAGCCGCCTCGTTGCAGGTGCGTCCACTCGTGCCCCCCCTGCTCTCTCCTTACTCTCTCCATGCCTGTCCCTCCTTCCATGCCTCTGCCTCTCTGCTTGCTTATTGCACTCCAGCCTCTACCTGTGCTTTTCTGTTCCACTGTATCAGACCACTCATTCCCCACCACCTTTGTTGCTCCATGCTCTCCCCGGTTCCTTTCATTATCATTCCCCAACCTCCCTTCATCTCTGCCATCTTGCAATGTTCCCTCTGCTCCCTTCTTACCCCCTCTGTTCCCCTCTGTTCCTACTGTTTCTTCTCTTCTCCTTACTCACCCCCTCTCCTCTTCCCCTCTCTCAACCCCTCTCCCGCTCCTCCCCTCTGTCCCTCTCTTATTCCCTCTGCCCCCTCCTCCTTCGAAACACCACTTACTACCTCCTCCCTTATGCAGAGGGCGGCACCCCTCTGTCGGTGTGGCAGTGCCTGGATGTGACCGCGGGTGTGCTGCGAGGGCTGAAGCACATCCAGAGCCATGGGGTCGTGCATGGCCGCATACACCCGCGCAACATTCTGCTTGACACCGCCCTGCAGGTGACGTCCCAATTGCTATGTATGTGACGTCCCATCTGCCATGCAGGTGACGTCCCATCTGCCATGCAGGTGACGTCCCATCTGCCATGCAGGTGACGTCCCATCTGCCCTGGAGGTGACGTCCCATCTGCCCTGCAGGAAAATTCTAAATTGCGATGCAGGGGGGGTGACACACTAAGTTTTATCTAGAAACACTTAGCTCTTTCCATTCTCCCAACTCCGTCTTCCTCCTCTCAGCTGCGTCTCTCCCTGACCCCCCTGCATGCAGTCTCACTTCTTCTTTCCCCTCTCCTCCCCACTACCCTCAGCCTGTCTTGGCTGGTTGCATGGCCGTGAAAATGGGCGACCCACTCCCATCCATCCCCACGGCAGCAGCACCTGCAGCACCACCACCAGCATCAGCAGCAGAAGCACCACCACCACCAGCATCAGCAGCAGAAGCACCAGCAAGTCCAGCAGCAGCAGCAGCATCAGCATCAGCACCACCATCAAGATCAGCGCCATCAGCAGGGGCATCGGTGGCATCAGCAGGGAGGGTCACATGGCCACCTGCCAACCATGCATACATGGACCCAATCCTGCATGCCTCTGCTCGCACCACTCCCACCACCGATGTCTTCAGGTCTGTGCTGCTCGACTGGAACTACCTTTTTTCTGATGCACGTCTTCCTTTCGCCCTCTTTTTGTCCCCTCTACCCGCCCTCTCTACCCCGCCCCTCTCGCGTAGCTTACACTGTGCGGTGAACCAGTTGTCTCCTCTACCCGTCCAAACCGAATCGGATGCCCCCGACTCAAAAGCAGGAACCGCTTATTCTGATGCTGAACGCCTCTTCCTTGTCTCCTCCCGCCTCTTCTATTCTCTCCACTTCCCGCGTCACCCCATCCCCACCTGCCAGCATTGGTGTGGTGATGCTGCAGCTCATCACCGGACGGCCTGCCCTGATACCAAAAGATGCTGGCAATGATCGGCAAGGCAACAGCTCTGGCACCCCTGGCGGCAGTAGCAGCAACAGCTACAACAGCAGCAGCAGCATGAGCAGCGGCTTCAGTGACAGCAGCTCAGTGCACATTCGGGACTGGGTGAGTGAGTGCGGTGTGGGCTGCTCCCAGGGTGGTTCTTCTTGTTGTTTCTGACATGTGTAAGACGTGCAGAGCTGCTGCAGGAAGGTGGCCCCGTGTGTGCATGCACACTGCTCATGGAATCCGCACACGCTCTCTCTTTCTCTCTCTCCTCTCATGCCATTGCACAATACACTTGAGCTTAACACACACCAGCCACGCCGCGCCACGACACCAGTGCGTCCGCCTCTATGGATCCACAACAATCACTGGTGCATGCCACTCATGCATCCATCTCCTCCCTGTCATTCCTCATGCATGCAGGCACAGCACATGGTATCGCGCAACATCACGGCCAACCTGCGCGCGGCCCACCTGCCCTCAGCACCCGACGCCATCGTGCTGCCCATGGTGCGCCTCGCCCTCTCCTGCACCGCTTCCGACCCCCTCTCCCGCCCCACTGTCACCGACCTGCTCCGCTCCATCAAGGCTCTCAAGCGCTCCCTCTCCGCCCTCCCGCGCCCTGCCCTGCCAGGCCACACAGGGGCGAGCAGGGATGGTGACATGGCCAATGCTGCAGGCAATGGGGGGGCTGGAGAGAAGCAGGGTGAGGAGGGTGGGGATGGGCTTTCTGGGGGTTTCAGTCTGAATGCACTAGACCCTAAGTTAGACTGGCTTCTGGAGGATGAAGATAGTGGTAGGTTTGTGGTCGATTTGTAGAGAGAAAGTGAGACCTGGTTAAAACGACCGTACACATCTGCAAACGGGAGAGCCTGCCAATTAGGATCCTTAACACAACCCTTTCTTTATTGCTGCTCGTGAAGCTGCACTGTAGGAGAGCGGTTTGGGGAGAGGGGAGAGGTTTGGCAAATCCTAAATAGGCAAATGTAAGGTTTTGCCTATTTAGTGTAGGCTGCTATTCTACGTTCGATACACCCCCTTGTAAGTTTTGGCAATTGTGCAATTTGCGCACGATTCGGATCACCGAAGCGCGTCCAGCATTAGAGACACTGTACGCCACCGCTTGTCATGTGCTTCTCCAAGGTTTGGACCCGCAACTCCGGGTTTTTTGGGAGACAGCCGCGTGGAATTTTATCTGGTCTGATCCAGATTCCATGACAATGATTGTCCCGCTTTCTGTCTCTTGTTTTCGCACTTTTTGTTGAACTACGTTAAGTTTCCACCTTTTTGCCTCGTTCGACAAAGATCCCCTTTGTTAGCACTTAATGTTAGAATCATCAGACACCGAACACCCATCGTCTTCAGTCGTAAGCTGCTTGAGGACAGCCACCTTGAACGGAAACTTTGCCGAACAAAAAAGATTTGTGGTCAATGAACTCTTGTGGTGGGTAGGAGCTTCCTCCCTCCTAGGATCCCCTCCTTGCTTGCACTAAACGAGGTCATGGTTACAACAACCCACTGACATGGAGGCCATGTCAATGCGAGCGACGCTCATCCCGAGAGGCTATTTGAGAGCCGTTTTTTCGGGATGTGGCCGCCCGCGTGAAGTTGTGGATTGGCGGAAAACGGCGGGGGGCGAATGCGAGTGGCGGGGTTATACGAATTCGCGGCGTGGAGGTTTCCATGCTTTGCGGGCGCGTGCGCCGCCGCTGCTGTTGGTTGTAGCGGCAATGGCGATTCTTCCGCACGTCCATAGCGCAGTTCCGTTACAAGCGTCACAAGGTGGGGGTTGTGCAGTGGTGGTGCGGTAACGTGCACTGCTGTGTGCGTTCAGCCAGCATGCTGCGGGCATTGCCTCATTCCTCTGAGGGGACCACCCCATCATCATTATCCCATCACGACCGTTTCGATTTATGCCGCCTTGGCCGTACGTTACACGGCGTCTCACCTGTGCTATCTGCGACGTCCGCCACGATTTTCCTGCGTGACCCGCGTTGCCCACGTTGTTGCCCGCAATCTCCCGTAGTAAGTGCCTCACTTTCCAGCAGTTGCCCGCGTTGCCCGCGTTTGCGTTGCGTGGCAGCGGCGGCGCTGCAGGAGTGCGCGGCGGCGTGGAACAGGACCTTCAGCGGGTGGACGGCAGGCGCGGACTGCCAAATAGCTGACAACATCATATGCAATGCAGAGGGGAAGATCGAGAGCCTGTGAGACACACACTGGACCCCGCGTGCACTGCCATGTACTGCCCCGCACACACAGCTGCGTGCTGTGCGCTCTGCGGTGCGCCTGTATGCCATGTGTACTGTATGCTGCGTGTTGTGTTCTGTGCTGCGATTTTCGGCTTCGAATTGGTGGCCTCGACAACAATCTCGTTTTAAATGCATGTGAATTCTCTTGAGCCCCTACCCTTTCATACACACAAGCACGCACGCACGCACGCACGCACACACGCACGCACGCACGCACACACACGCGCGCATCCGCACGCACCCGCACCTGCGCGCACACAAACGGGCCTTCCTTTCCATCCCCACCATGGCCGCAGGAACCTACTGGGTTTGAACCTGAACGGCCCCATCCCCACCAGCATCGCCAGCCTCACCGCACTCACCTTCTTGTGCGTGTCACAGTGGCAGCCCTTTCTCTGTGCTTCAACCGTTGAGGCGCCTAGAAAACACGTGTGCCAGTCCCTATCGTTAGAATCAATATCAGCAGGCGTGCAGCAGGAGACATGGACACAGCACCAAATGACAGCCAGGCACGCCGACCGACCCAGCAGGAGCGACCAGGCAAACACGTGGCCAGAGAGGGAGGCTATTGTCATGCGATAGAGACGGCCCATTCCGCAGCCTCGCGGACCCATGGCCGCTACAGTTTAAAAACCTATGCCAGACCCTGGAGGGGCGGTAGGTGACTCAAGGGAAGAATAAGCACGATTGATGCATTGTCATTGCTTTCCCCCCTTGCTTGTACCTGCTGTGAAACTAATACGAAGGACCGTTCGAGGGTGGAGGGAAATAAAGAGTGGAGTTGCAGTGCGGTGCAGTGTGATGCCGTGCTGTGTAGTGCAGTGCAGTGCAGTGCAGTTTCGGGCGCAGAGCAGGCAGGGAGGATGATGGTGGAAGGTAAAGGCTTGTGTCTTTCATTCTCTTGTTTTTCAAATACCACCTCGCTCCCAGCAAACCGCACTTTCTGCAGCTTCGGATCCTATGAAGCTTCGCTCTCACTGCTCACTCTCTACCTGCTATTCTCTGCCCTCTGACCCTCTGCCTTCGCCCTCCCTCTAGTGGCGCCTCCTGGAATAATTTTTCCGGGTCCATCCCCTCTAGCATCACACGACTCTCTCAGCTAAGTGTTCTGTGAGTGATTTTCTCCAACCCTCAGGATCTTTTTAAGTACAAAATCTTTAAGGCTACGACAAATTGTTCTAAGAAGTATCATGGTAATATTGCTGACAACTTTGTCCCATTTTGTTTTGTCATAAGCCTTGCCCTGTTTAGAATGGCTGCTACCACTATCCGCCTGATGATCACAATCATGCATGCCACACACCATATGCCACATGGCATTACACGTCATGTGCTGCATGCATGTCACATCACATCACGCCCATGCCTGCCGCATGGCACATGTCCCATGGCAGGTACTTTGATCACACCCTGATCTCCGGACCCATTCCCTCCTTCATCGGGGCACTCAAGAACCTCAATACTCTGTAACTGTGCATGTGTGCTGCTATGCACGGGCGCTGCTATGCATGGGCGCTGCTATGCATGGGTGCTGCTATGCATGGGCGCTGCTATGCATGGGCGCTGCTATGCATGGGTGCTGCTATGCATGGGTGCTGCTATGCATGGGCGCTGCTATGCATGGGCGCTGCTATGCATGGGTGCTGCTATGCATGGGCGCTGCTATGCATGGGTGCTGCTATGCATGGGCGCTGCTATGCATGGGTGCTGCTATGCATGGGCGCTGCTATGCATGGGCGCTGCTATGCATGGGCGCTGCTATGCATGGGCGCTGCTATGCATGGGCGCTGCTATGCAAGCATGCGGGTCAGCCAACAGCAGCACAAGTGTCACAATCTGTTATCCCGTGTCTTGTGAGCGATTTTTTAGATTTCTCAAAATGCACAAGTGTCATAATCTGCTATCCCGCGCCTTGCATTTTCACTCCACCTGCTCCCCTCTCCATGCTCCACACCCCTCATATCCCTTGGTCAGGTCGATATCCTATTCCAGCATGTCAGGAACCATCCCCTCCACCATCTCCGGCCTCTCCTCTTTGAGCTCTCTGTCAGTGCTCTCCATCCTTCCCATCCTTCCCATCCCTCCCATCCCTCCCATCCCCTCCCATCCCCTCCCATCCCTCCCATCCCTCCCATCCCTCCCATACCTGCCAAGACTGTTTTCTGTTGTGCCTGAACCTGCCTTTGGGTCCTTCTCGGCTCTGCTCACGCGCCTTACGGTCCGGGTAAAAAATATCAGGCGTTTCCTCTCTGGAGCGTTTTCTCAGCGTGAGTCACATTTACCTCTGATGCTGCGAAACGAACACAAATGAAAGGGTAGAAGGCAGGAAGAAAGAAGAATAAGAAAAAAGAGATGGAAGTTAACCCACCCACACAGACACTAGCTGCTTGGAGTATGCAACTTTTGAGGCGCCTCGAAGTTAGGCTGCTTGGTACATGATGCACACATTTTAAACTGATCGCCGGCAGCAGCATCACACAAGGAGCCTTTGGTCCTAAACTGATTATCCCACCCACACAGACACTATCTGCTTGGCACATGATTCGCACATTCACACATTCAGAACTTCCTGCTTGCATCCTCCTCCTCCTCCTCCTCCTCCTCCTCCTCCTCCTCCTCCTCCTCCTCCTCCTCCTCCTCCTCCTCCTCCTCCTCCTCCTCCTCCACCTCCTCCTCCTCCTTCCCCCTCAACTCCCACCATCATCATAACCAACAGCAGCAAAAAACGAGCAGCCTCTGGATTCAAAATAATCATCAATTCATCCCACCAATTGCATGCCTTGTTGTCTGCCCTCCCATTTTTCTCTGCATACTACCGTGCGTTCATGTGACTACCGTCGCCCACGTGCCAATGCGCTGCATGCCAGTGACGCGGCCAACACTCACCTCAGTGGCACAATCCCCAGTACTATTGGTCAACTCGCCAGTCTCGTGTACTTGTATGTGGGGGGGGTGTCAGCACACACACACACACACACACACACACACACACACACACACACATGCACGCACACCACCTTACCAGGTGTGTGCAGGTGTGTGCACACAGCCTGAGAGTCACCTCACTCTCTTCTGCTCAAGCCTATCCACTTCAATCCATGACTACTGGTTAACTCCACCAGTGACCAACTTTCAGAATTTTCAGAAACCCAAAATGATGTTCTGTTCGCACCAGGGTGCCATCATGACTCTCCTTGTTCCTGCTGCCTGTCTTGTTCCTGCTGCCTGTCCTGTTCCTGCTGCCTGTCCTGTTCCTGCTGCCTGTCCTGTTCCTGCTGCCTGTCCTGTTCCTGCTGCCTGTCCTGTTCCTGCTGCCTGTCCTGTTCCTGCTGCCTATCCTGTTCCTGCTGCCTATCCTGTTCCTGCTGCCTGTCCTGTTCCTGCTGCCTATCCTGTTCCTGCTGCCTATCCTGTTCCTGCTGCCTATCCTGTTCCTGCTGCCTATCCTGTTCCTTCTGCCTGTCCTGTTCCTTCTGCCTGTCCTGTTCCTTCTGCCTGTCCTGTTCCTTCTGCCTGTCCTGTTCCTTCTGCCTGTCCTGTTCCTTCTGCCTGTCCTGTTCCTTCTGCCTGTCCTGTTCCTTCTGCCTGTCCTGTTCCTTCTGCCTGTCCTGTTCCTTCTGCCTGTCCTGTTCCTTCTGCCTGTCCTGTTCCTTCTGCCTGTCCTGTTCCTTCTGCCTGTCCTGTTCCTTCTGCCTGTCCTGTTCCTTCTGCCTGTCCTGTTCCTTCTGCCTGTCCTGTTCCTTCTGCCTGTCCTGTTCCTTCTGCCTGTCCTGTTCCTTCTGCCTGTCCTGTTCCTTCTGCCTGTCCTGTTCCTTCTGCCTGTCCTGTTCCTTCTGCCTGTCCTGTTCCTTCTGCCTGTCCTGTTCCTTCTGCCTGTCCTGTTCCTTCTGCCTGTCCTGTTCCTTCTGCCTGTCCTGTTCCTTCTGCCTGTCCTGTTCCTTCTGCCTGTCCTGTTCCTTCTGCCTGTCCTGTTCCTTCTGCCTGTCCTGTTCCTTCTGCCTGTCCTGTTCCTTCTGCCTGTCCTGTTCCTTCTGCCTGTCCTGTTCCTTCTGCCTGTCCTCTTCCTTCTGCCTGTCCTGTTCCTTCTGCCTGTCCTGTTCCTTCTGCCTGTCCTGTTCCTTCTGCCTGTCCTGTTCCTTCTGCCTGTCCTGTTCCTTCTGCCTGTCCTGTTCCTTCTGCCTGTCCTGTTCCTTCTGCCTGTCCTGTTCCTTCTGCCTGTCCTGTTCCTTCTGCCTGTCCTGTTCCTTCTGCCTGTCCTGTTCCTTCTGCCTGTCCTGTTCCTTCTGCCTGTCCTCTTCCTTCTGCCTGTCCTGTTCCTTCTGCCTGTCCTGTACCTTCTATCGCTCGCCTCACAACTGTCCTGTCGCAGGACCATCGCCAACACCAACTTGTCTGGCTCGCTGCCAGCCTCCCTTGGTGCTCTCCCCAAACTCAATAAATTGTCAGCCCCCTGCATTCCCTCTCAGCCTGCACTCCGCTCATTCCCATCACAACACTTACGCATCTCTGGCCAATTTCCTTGCGTTTTATCCGTGCCACAGAACTCGACACTCTTCCTTCCCCTCTACTCTTCCCTACACGCCTACCTACCATCTTTCCCCTTCCAGATTCATCCCTGGAGGGATGACATGCGGCAGGGCTGGCAGCAGCTGTGAGATTCAGCAGAACTCCTCCTCCTTCTTCTGCCGGGCTCTCTGCTTCAAGTTCTGTGCCTCGTGCATCCCTCTCAACGGTGAAGAAGTGAATGGTTCTTTATGTTTCTGCCTGCCTGCATGGCTCGCACTGCGAATAGTGAGGTGCATTTTGAGGCGCCTCAAGTTTTGTGCCTCCTGCATCCCACTCAACGGTGAAAAAGTGAATGGTTCTTCATATCTCTGCCTGCCTGCGTGTCTCGCTCGCACTGGAAATGGAATGGGAATGGCTTCTCTTCTCGTGTGCCTTTGCGATTGTGGTATCTGACTGGCTGGCTTTATAGCTTCTGACATTCATCGTGGCACTCGTCTGTCTTCATGGCGTTCATCAAATAACCCGACGTGTCATCTGAAAGTTTGTGTTGCCATCACAGCTCCCCATCACAGCAGCAGCTGTCGCCCTCCACAACCCCTTTGCACCACATTTCCCTCCCCACAGGTCAACATCGCAACCCTCCTCCCCCTCCTCCACTCTCACCTCCTCTTGCTCCAAGCCTCGCCCTCATGACCCCCCCACCTCCTCCTCTGTCCTCTCTTCTTGCCGTCTCCTCTCCACTCGCCCCTCCTCCTGCTCCTCCACCCTCCACCGGTTTGCCAACCTCTGCAATCGTGGGGATATCCGTGGGAGGGTTGTGTCTGCTTGTGGCTGCTGCTGTTGCTGCTGTCGTGGCTGTGGCGTATGTGAAGCAGGGAGCCCAAGGAACGGAGTTACAGCCACTAGCAGCCTCAGGTAAGAGCAAGTGAAGTATTGTGCCACGACTCTTCACGGTAGTTGTGTGTGTGTCATGGATGGCACTAAGGGAGGGGTATGTGTCACTGGTGGTGGCTCTGGTGGGTTGGCTTGGCCATTGGTTCTGCTTTTTCCTCGTTCTGCTCGTGACGCTTGTTCGTGTTTCTCATTATCCGTCATTATCTGTCATTATCTTCTTTCCTATCTACAACACACTGCTGCCAGCCACCCCCCTTTCCCTGCTGCTGCTGTCGCTTCAGCTGCTGTCACTGCTGCTGCCGCTGCCGCTGCCGCCGTCGCCGCCGCTGCTGCTGCTGCCACCGCCACAGATGTTGACTGTGCCCATCATAGTTTCTCATACGATGCCTGTCACCGCACTTATCATTCGCCCTCTTACCCACCTCTCACCCACCTCTCACCCACTTCTCACCATCACCTCACCATCATATTCCCCACTCGCTTTCCCTCCACGTCAGCATCCCGTGTCTTCGGTCGCGCCCGCTGTCCAAAGTTCGCCGTGTCTCTCGTGGCACAAGCAACGGGTGGGTGGGGTGAGGATAGCAGGGTGGAGAAGCAGGGGTGGAGCAGCAACAGAGGCAGCACTAGCAGCAGCAGCGGTGGAGGGCAGACGTACAAGGCAGTGAGTCCTCTGGATTCGCGCCAGGTGTGGTTCGTTGTGAGGCGCGGCAACGAGGAGCTTTCCACAGACTTCCAGAAAGAGGTGAGAGATCTGTGAAAACAGGACGGCAACAACTCTCTCTCCCATCCCGTGAACCCCTAGTTCTGAAGACACAGTACACTTCGGTGTCTTCTCGTCTCGGGCTGGGGGTCCATTTGAGTCGACTCAAAACATTTCTCTACGCAAACTCAGTCACCTACCTAGGTGTCCCAAACCAAGAAATCGCTGCCACGTATTGATTGAACCATGGCCTCTAAGTGGGGCTCGATTGGACTTTCCACAGACTTCCAGAAAGAGGTGAGAGAGTGGCGGCAGCAGCGGGCGGTGGTGGAGGCAGTTTTGGTGCATTTTACAACTCGCCCCTCTTTCCCCCCCCCCCTCTCCTTCCTATTGGGTGTGTCTCTCTTTCCCTGCCCAGGTGGCCACGCTTTGGTCTATCCGCCATACCAACCTGCAGCGACTGCTGGGGCATTGCTGGGAGCAGCGTGGCAGTGACTCGCCTGCTGCTGCTGCTGCTGCTGCTGCTGCTGCTGCTGCTGTTGGTAGTGCTGAGAGTGCTAGTGCTGATGCTGCTGCCGGTCCTCCGGTTGAGCAAGCAGAGGAGGAGCAGGTGCTAGTGTTTGAGTGGGTGCCAGGAGGCAATCTGCACAGCCGCCTCGTTGCAGGTACATCCACTCCTGGCGCCCCTCCCCCCCCACTTTCTCTCTCCATGCCTAGCCCATTGCACTCCAGCCTCTGCCGGTGATTCTCTGATTCCCTTACCAGAGCACTCATTTTTTACCACCCCCTTTGCTCCGTGTTTTCCCCACCACACCTCTTACTTACTCCTCCTCCACTCTTCTCCCCTCTACACCCTTCTACTCCCTCTGCCCCCCTCCTCCTCCCGCCGTGCAGAGGGCGGCGCCCCTCTGTCGGTGTGGCAGTGCCTGGATGTGACCGCGGGTGTGCTGCGAGGGCTGAAGCACATCCAGAGCCATGGGGTCGTGCATGGCCGCATACACCCACGCAACATCCTGCTTGACATCGCCCTGCAGGTGACCTCCTGTCTGCCCTGCAGGTGAGCTCCCATCTGCCCTGCAGGTGTCGTGCATAGCCAGTTGCCAGTTGTCGTACACGTGAAGTGAATCATAGGTGAAGTGAATTCCCATCACGTGCAGGTGAACTCCCATCACGTGCAGGTGAACTCCCATCACGTGCAGGTGAACTCCCATCACGTGCAGGTGAACTCCCATCACGTGCAGGTGAACTCCCATCACGTGCAGGTGAACTCCCATCACGTGCAGGTGAACTCCCATCACGTGCAGGTGAACTCCCATCACGTGCAGGTGAACTCCCATCACGTGCAGGTGAATTCCCATCTGCCATTTAGAATAAGTGCCACTTGTCGTGCAGGTGCAGTGAAGTGACACTCACCGGTTTTGCCACACACACTCGGCTTTTTCCCATTCTCTCAACTCTGTCCTCCTCATCCCATCGACCAGCAGCTGCGTCTCTCCCTCGAACCCCTGCAATCCATTCACGCCGCTTCTTGCCCCTCGCCTCCCCACTAACCCATACCCATGCCTTACCCTCAGCCTGTCTTGGCTGGTTGCATAGCCGTGAAAATGGGCGACCCGCTCCCATCCATCCCTCCAGCACCAGCAGCAGCACCTGCAGTATCAGCACCATCATCAACATCAGCACCATCAGCATCAGCAGGAGCATGGGTGGCATCAGCAGGGAGGGTCACACGGCCACCAGCCAACCATGCATACATGGACCCAATCCTGCATGCCTCTGTTCGCACTACACCCTCGAACGATGTTTTTAGGTCCGTGCTGCTTGACTGAAATTACCTTTTCTCCACAGATGTCTTCAGGTCCGTCCGCGCTGTTCAACTTCTGAGACGTCTCAACAACCGTGTTGCTCAACCAGAGTCACCGTTGAGAGTACAAATGCTGTTTGTTGCTGCTCAACTCAACTCTCAGTCAATTGCCCGCCTCTCCCCTGCTCCCCTCCATGGTCTTACTTCTCTCCTCCCGCCCCTACTTTCGTCTCCACTCTCCCCCCTCCCCCCATCCCCACCTGCCAGCATTGGTGTGGTGATGCTGCAGCTCATCACCGGACGGCCTGCCTTGATACCCACCGCTGCAGGCAACGACGATCGGCAAGGCTCCAGCTCTGGCAGCGGGGGAGGTGGCAGTAGCAGCAACAGCAGCAACAGCATCAGCACAAACAGCTACAGCAGCAACAGCAGCAACAGCGTGCGAACAAACAGTTACACCAGCAGCAGCAGCAGCATGAGCAGTAGCAGCAGCTCAGTGCACATTCGAGACTGGGTGAGTTCGGTGTGAGCTCACAGGGTTCATACGATAGCGATGCTCTGAAAACTAGAACCGACACTGAGGAACATCATGGCACGGCTGAAAAGCATAAATATAGACTTTATACAGGTAATATCCAGGAGAGTAAAACTACAATCCAACATACACCCACTGCACATGCATCAGCTGGATATGCACATTCCATGCTTCGCTGAATACTCGTGCCCCTAGCACTCACCAGCCATGCCACACCACACCACACCACAAGTCCGGTGCGTCCTCCTCTATGGATGCACAACATCTCTTCCCAATCCTGCATCCATCCCTCCCTTTCATTCCTCCTACTCGTCGAAAATTCCCATCCCTGTGCATGCAGGCGCACCACATGGTATCGCGCAGCATCACGGCCAACCTGCGCGCCGCCCACCTGCCCTCGGCACCCGACGCCATCGTGCTGCCCATGGTGCGCCTCGCCCTCTCCTGCACCGCTTCCGACCCCCTCTCCCGCCCCACTGTCACCGACCTGCTCCGCTCCATCAAGGCTCTCAAGCGCTCCCTCTCCACCCACCCGCGCCCTGCCCTGCCGGCCAACGCAGGCACCAGCAGGGGTGGTGACATGCACAGTGCAGCAGGTGGTGGGGATGCTGCAGAGCAGCAGGGTGGGGAGCATGGGGATGTGTTTTTGGAGGGTTTCAGTCAGAATGCGTTAGATGCAAAGCTAGACTGGCTTCTGGAGGAAGAAGATAGTGGCAGGTTTGTGGCCGATTTGTAGATTGAAAGTGGGACCTGCTTAAAGCAACCATATACAGAGCATTGCGAGGATCACTGAGCGCAATGCCCTCTCTACTGCTGCTCGTGATGCTCCCCTGTTGGAGCGCGGTTGGGGAGGAGGGGAGAGGAGTTGGGGATATTCTGTGTTGGCATGGTGTGAGAAAAAGTCACTTTCATTTTCTTAATC